AGCCGAACGTAACCTTAGTCTTCAGTTCAGTTGCAAACTTCATTTCTTTTCGGTGACTTTTTGAATTCGATAATTAATAATTAGTAGAGGCTTTTCCGCTTAGCTTTGATCTCACAATTTTTTTTACTGATGTGTTTCCTTCTTTTAAAATAACGTCGCTAGTCATCATTGTAGTGCTTGAATATTCTATACGCTCTTCTTTAGGTGCTTTCAAACTAGGAAAAAGTCGAAATGTTCACCAGAAAAATCGTCAACTGTGTAATTACAATACATGTGATACAAGACTGTAGTGCAATCATAGTTTTTCATTACATGCTTTTTTGCTCCTTCAAAATTGTGAAGCCCTACGAGGGAGGAGGAGGGAGGCCCTGGGAGGCCCCCTCCAAATACAAAGTTGAACTTTGTGATTGCACTACAGCGATGTATCACATGTATTGTAATTACACAGTTGCGAAATAGTTACACAGTTCACATTTTTTCTTGTGAACATTTCGACTTTTTCCTAGTTTGAAAGCACCTTTTGTAGCGTAAAAGACAAAATACCAAGATGTAAGAAGACACCGAGAGTCAGACCAACGTGTAAACCGGCTTTCATTTTACCTAATTAGAATTTGCTCAAAGATTCGCTTCTTCCATATTTCATGCATAGCTGATCTCTAGAAACCGGGGCTCGTACATAGACTTTTTCTCCATAAACTTTGTAGTTTGATGAACAGATCAGAAAGACTTCCTTGATATCTTGACAATACCACGGTGAACCATTTGATAGAACCTTCATACCAAACACATCATCACGTGTTTTGAAAAACTGCGTGGCTATGAGGAGTCATTTTACAAACAAGACTTTCTCATTGTGGAGATTTTTTTTGTGGTGCGTAATTATTCGAAGCTGTTGGGGAGTGCTCAACGTGTATTATAAACTACGTTATGAGTCACTCTTTTTTCATTGTGTACCTTTGAATTTTCTATCCATCTTTTTTATCAGGAAGTCAAATGTGTACTTCGTTCGAGTGGCCATTGTAAGTCACCCAGGGTGCTGTGAGGTGCTGTGAGGTGCTGTGAGGTGCTGTGCCGCTGTGATGAGGGAAAAGAGGGGAAAAGGAAACTTAAGAAGCTCCCACGCAGTCGTCTGTTGCTCGCGACAGGCTGAGATAAATTTTGAACCCAATTTTTTGAGACAAGATTTAAGGCAAAGGGCACTGCAGCAAATTCCTCGGGGAAAAAATATGATGTTGCAGTCAATTCAGAAAAGCTTGTCACAAATTCCCCACCAATTTGCTGGAATTTTGAGGGCAACTTTGGTCAAGCTTTTACAATTATGGCCAAAAGAGCAGGGCACAAAGTTTCTCGTTTCTCTTTAGACCACCCTGGAATCTTTGGCAGTAAAAGGTGTAGAAGGAATTCAAAGACGTCTTCTGCAAACAGCTCAAGAAGCCCCTCTTCTGACGCGGCCACATCTGCTCTCCAAGAGGGGCTTGAGACTAATACCCCATCTTTGGCCTGAGTTTTTAAGCAATTTTGCTGGAATTCCTTTTCCAAGGGCTCTAAACATCATGAAACCTTGCAATAAATTTGGCAGAGCTTCTTCAAGCTCTTTTGCTTTTCCACATATTTTTTAGTCTGTCACCACTCTTAGATCATAAAGAAATTTGAGAAATACAGATAATCTAAACTTAATAATGAGGTCATGGAAAGGCTTTAACAAGCACATGTTTAGGCAACATCCCAGCCAAGGCTAATAGCCAAGGAGTAATAAATCCTTAACATTAGATGCCACATTTTTTAAGTAAACAGGAATTGAATATAACACAAAATTAAAGAATCTAAAATTGGCTGCTTCTTTATCTTGTTTTTTTGTACAAAAAAGCATAAACAACCCTGAGATGAAATGAGATTTATTCAATAAAATATATTAACTTATAACTGAAGATATAAATCAAAACATAACCCAGGGAAAGATGGGTGGGAGGGACAAAGAATTGTAGTGAAGAAGATGAAGTAACTTTAAGGACACGGATATTTTTGACAAAAGTGAACCTAACATCTTCTGATGAGGATAGCAAGGATAAGCTTGTGCTCAACCTCTTACTGATCACTCATGATTTTTCACCTTCTGGGAATCTTTGACCTTGGTGATGCATCCTATGCCAACAGTAATGGTATTCTAACAGGCTTTTGCTACCACCTCCAAGAGTGGTATTGAGGTCAAACTGCACCACAAAACCATCAAGCACTCTTCAATTTTTGCTATTCTCAACTGAGAATGAGTATCAAGCAATACTTTGGTGTCTGAAAGATTTGATTCATCATTCTAGTCTTAATACAAAGCTTGCCAATATTTGACAAGGAAGTCCTGTAGTGTCACTTGCTTTTATTCACAACCTCATCATGTGAGGTACAAATGATCAGTTCTTCAAAGTATTCAATGAAGAACAATGTGAGCAAGATGGTGCATGGGTCTGTTAAGCTCAAGATGATTCTGGCCCTGTGGTCAGGAATGTCCAAGGTGCTGCAAATGTGTTCAGAGATGATATTTCAATAAGGATGTGGGCTCATTACCAAGCTCACAGAAATCATCACTGATTTGAATATAGTAAGTCAGCTTTCTTAACAAATTCTCTTGTTCTCAGCATGCTGACTATTATTGTTTTTAGCTATGATGTGATGATTCAATTCCCTTTACACTTCTGAAATTCACCATCAGAGGCTTACCAATCCAATAAGATCATTGATGTGATGTATGTAATATGATCTTTTGATCATTCTTTGTTTGATGATATGATTAATTTATTCAGTAACAGGTGATGTTTTCCCAATTACTAAGCTTTTGTATTTCAGATTTGGGTTATATCACTGTGTTTGATCATTCTAAAAACAAAATTAAGTTTATCTGGTGTTGAATCAATGTATCTTAATAAGCATCTATGATTGTGCTGTGTTAGAAATGGTTTTGACATTTCAAAAATTTAGACCTTTCATAACCCATGTTTTAGCCCCATACAGACACTGAATAACCCATAATTCAACCTCAGTAACTGGATCACACATTCTCTTTTCACTGGATCAATCCCAATTATTCTTTAATTCACCAATTTGTAGCTCACATCTCTTCATATTAAATCTTGTCATGAATATTACTGATAACTAATAATCAACTTTTCTTTTTTCATTCAACCAATAATGTATTTTTAAACCTTCTTGACTTCTTTTTTTGGCTGGTCTACTTTCTCTTTTCATTCACATCTGATCATCATCAACTTGTAATAATTATTAAACTTGGCTTTCTATATTGATTTTCTTTTTCTTTTCTTTCTACTTGGATCATTGAAACTAAAACTTGACATTAAAACTAAGATGTATGGTCAAAGTGATGTAAAAGTTGTTTTTTGTGCTTTTAAAGTGAAAGATAATAACAAAATCAAATCTAAAGTCTTGATTGGTGCAGTCATTGGCTCACCAAAGTGTGGGACTGAGCGTATGCCAATCATCCTGGCAGACCATCTTGCTCTTCCATGTGTTGTTACTTTGATAATCTCAGTGCTAACCAACACAGGCCACAACAGCCACTTTACTGCAAGCCATCAATCATTTTGTCCCATTATCCGACTGCGGCCATCAGTATTCCTACCTCTGAAACACATTGGCCAACAATCCTCACAACAACATATCATGAACCACCCAGCCCTTTCAGACCCCTCCAGAAAAAAAAAGGTTCAAACCTATGAAACACCAATCCTTTGGCTCAAAACACTACCTAACTCATACAGTGAAAAGTGTGTTAGTGCTGTGGAATTCTAAAGGGGTGGTGATTGGTGTTGCGTGTTTTGCCAGCAGTAGGGGGATTCTTCTACAAAGATTTTCTTTGTTTTGTCACATTGTTGCAAGTGCTTGGGGAAGTGAGGGTGTCAGACAGTCTGTGAGCATGTGTGTCATTGAACAAAGTTGTGCTGAAATCATAACAACATGAGATTAAGATGTGTAATGAGATGATCAATGAATTTCACAGTTTGAAGCTCTTCTTAACAGAATGATCACTTTGTACTTCTTTTTGAGAAAAGAAAATCTGAAGTTTAGAGAAGTACATTAAATTATTATGAACTGATGATGATTCAAAAGTAGAAAAAAGTTTGCTTAGTTTGATTTTTTTTGGTCAATTTATTTTTTGATTCTTGACCTGAATAATAAGTATACGAAATAAATCACAATTACAGGGTTTTTGCAAAAGAAAGTGACTCTTGATTCTCTCCAATATTTCAGTCAGGTAACTTTAGGTATACTTGTACAAAAACTTTTCAAGCCAGTATTTTCTTCTTGAAAAAATATCCCTCAGTCTCAGAGATTGGGTATCAACTACTCATCTAAGGCTCAAGAGAAAAGTTACAAGTACTATCTGCTATTGAAGAGCCAACCTTTGGGGAGCTTTTTAGGCAAGACTATGTCAAAAACAATCTTAAGATATCTGATCTAAGCTGATAAATGAAACTGAGTAAGATCAAGACCAGGTATAATAAAAAGTTTAGGAAATATATATAAAAAACCTCTCTCAAGGTAAGATTTCAGCTAATGGAAGTTCATATAAGATTTTAATCTTCAACTCAATATGATACACAACCATTCACATTATTTGTGAAGAAAATTCAATGAAGAAAACTATGATTGTATTTTTGATTTTTGATTTCCAAGAATGTTAACAAAAACCAACAAGAATCAATTATAGATCATCATCAAATTTGGTGCAAGAATCATAATCTTAAGGTATCATTTGAACTTCTTTTCCATCAGTTTTATAAAGAATTTGTTCTTCATTAATATTATATAACTTTTTAATTAAAATACTTTTTAAAAAGAAAAACTCATCAAACCAAACATAAAATAAAAACAAATCATTCAAGATCATCATCATACATAAAACTCGTCATCAACTTTAACTTTTTTCTTTTGACATAATTACCAACTTAAACCATCCACAATCAAACAACATCATCATTATTATTATTTCATTACCAAGCATCAGATTCTGATATATTCCAACTATTTAAATTTGGATGACTAATCATCTCAGAACTAATTGATTGATCCTCTTGATGATTGATTAAATCACTTTCACAACTACTGTTACTTAATAAATATTCTCCATTTCTTGAACCATCATCTTCGAAACAATCTAAATTAATCATATTCTTCAAATGATCTTTTAACTGAATCCAAAGGAGAAAAAAAACATCAGTAATAAAGAAAAGAAGAAGATGCAAAAAGTAAAAATACTAAACTGTTTTCAATCTAACAAATTCATAAGAACCAAATCTACCCAAACCATTCTTTTCTCCCCATTCATTTTCATCTTCATTAACCTTATCATCTTCTTCATTTTCATGATCTTCATCAACCTGAATCTCTTTTAACAACCCTTCATAAACTTTCATTTCTCCTAATAATTTAAATGATTTAACAATTTTCTTTTGATCTATTTGTAAATTAGTTGATTTAAACTTAAAAAAAACAAAAGCAAAAGTCATCATCAGTCAAACTTGAAGGAAAGAAGGATTTTAAGAATGACAAAATGACTTACTAGGGATTTCCATTGATTGAATAATGTTTGGTAATAACTTGGAAAAAGGTTTAAAGTTTCTAAAAAGACGTTTAGATTTAATACACAAAGATCCAAAAACAGCTTACAAACCTTTTCTTGATCCTATTCAAATCCCCCACAAGCACCAAAAAAAATCAAAACAAGATCAATCAAAAAGAAACAATTCAAATATGAATATGAAAAGAACAGACAAACCTTTGTGGAATGAATCAAAAGATTAAACAGATTGGAGATTTCATCTTTATGATTCATTAACAAACTCATATCAAAAGCTGAACTAAGAATTACTAATCGAATCAAAACAAACCAATCATCTTCATCTTCATCTTCTTCATGCTTTTGAATTGAATTTTGAATTAAACCAAATAAACCATCAAATTGAAATAAATCTTGGATCGGAATCAATAAAATCAATGAAGAAATCAAATTAGTTGTAGGGACTTGAAGTTGTGAAAAAGTTTTTAAAATTTTTAGTTTGGTTGATTCGGTTGAGTTTACAGATTGAATCAAGATTTGAAAAGAGTCCTGTAATAAATTGATTGAAAAATTTGTTGAAAATAAATGGTTTAAAGTTTGGATTAAGATCAGAAAGTTATGATGAACCAAATCACGGCTCTCTAATGTCTGTTCAGTCAAAACAGATTTTTTTGATTAATATTTTATTCAACACAGGGGAATGGAAAAGAAACAGTTATAGAAATTATGTTTACCATGATTAAATCATTGAAAGAATCCATAAGTCTTTCTTTAAGAGTTTCATTCAATTCAATGGTCCAAGTTTTAATTATCAAATCACAAAACTTTTCCACAGACCCATTCATCTACATAGAAAAATTCAGATCACATTATAAATCAACAAGATCAATTTTAAATCAAAATTCAAAGAAAAAAACTCACAAGTGATAAATTAGAACAAATCAATGTCTTAAGAAAGGTATAAGCCTCTAAATCATACTTTAACTGTTCAGAGAGACATTCCAAAACATTACTCCAATCAATAACCACACCCTCTTCTCCAATTACCAATTCATCCAAAGTTGATAATTGGGTTAGATAAGAAGGATTCATAATATATAGTTGAATTAAAATCCATTCTGCTTGAGATCGAAATAAATTGGAAACTTGATGGTTTTGTATAATTTTTCTCATCTATTCAAATATTAAAAAAACATATTAATAATTTATTTTGGAAAAGAAATCAAAGAAAAAAATCACACTTAACTGTAAAAGCCAAATTATCTATTACACATTCTTCAATATTACTAAGAAAAACAAAATTTCAAGGTCATGAGTTATTTTTTTTTGGATTCTAGGGTTCTTTAAAAAAACTAAAAAAAAAACTCAACTGATCATTAATAGATTGTAGAATTGGAACAAATAAGTTATTGAATTGATTGTTTAAAATTAATTCTAAATTGATAGTCGATTCAACATGTTGTTTGATGCTTCCAATCCATAATCCAAAAGTATATACTTTGATACTTAATTGATGTTGAGTTTCTATCAAAAAAAACAAAATCATAAAATAAGATTAGATCCTTAAAAAATGCAAAACCAAGATGAGAAACTAGAACATACCTGATGAAAGATTTTGAATTAAAAGTAAAAATGAAAATTGATGAATTCTTGAAAAATATTCAAATAAACTTGAAGGGATTGAATGCTCTTCATCTTCTGGATTTACAGAAAACAAAGAAACAATCAAATTTGACCAACTATAAAGTTGTTCAGCTGTAAGTTCAATGGATTGAGATGAACTCCATGAATCCAAAGCTTGTAAAATGATTTCACAAGCTTTGATTAAAATTCCTTTTGATACTATTTTTAATTCAAAAGAAAAAGAACATTAATTTGATAAGATTGATTTGATTATAAGATACAAGAAGATGAGAATTAAACTTACATTGAGGATGTTGGATTATGGTAGAATAAGTATTGATGATTGTTTGATTGATCTGATTTGAATTTAAAAAGAAATTACTATATTGAAGAATTAATTCTTCATTTATAGTAGTAGAGTTTATAATCATTGATAATAAATCTGATTCAAATCTATTGCTGAGTTCCTGTTACAAATATGAAGGGAAGTGATTAGATTTGAGACTATAATTTGATTTGTTTGAAATTTACTTACTTGTAATTGACTTTCTTCAAAGCTTTCAATTGATAAGATGGAGATAATTTCAAAATTTAAAGTAATTTGTTGTTGATTTTGATAATGCTCAAAGAATTCAAGGAAATGTTTGTTAGAATACTAGAATCAATCAATATTTAGGGTTAGCAATGAATCATTAAGAATATTTTTTTTGGAAAGAATTTACATACTCTTTTGATGATAAGTTTTGATCTTAAATTGGAAATACTAGAAATTGATTTTAAAATAAGATAAATGGTAGAAAGATTTAAATTGTATCCAATCAAAAGTGAATCTAAATCAGTAAGATCATTAGTTAAACACTGAATCTTGATCAATTGTGAAATGATTTCATTTGATTCTTCCATAAATTTTTGATCCACTTCTGTCTCTTCATTTTGATGATTTAATTTTCCATTAAGATTTAACATAAATTTCAGTAGATCATCTCTTAGTTGAATTTCTTTTGGATTCCAGTTTTTGATGTTTTCTATTGTTCTTTTTAAGATGATTAAAGCTCTTTGTCTTTCTATGATTTCATTTTCAGTTCTTAAGTTGGCTTGAAAGTTGATGTTTGATATAATTATTGGAATTGAAGTTAAAGGTTGATTTATAAATTGATCTATGAAGACTTGATCTGAGCTTGGGTCTTTACAGGCTGCTTTGAATTTTTCTACTTGCATGTTTCAATAAGTGCTATATAATTTGATTTTGAAGTTATAATTGAATCAGTTAATTGAAGACGGTTGTGTAAGATAGAAATCGATGATGAAAAATCAAAAAAGAGTTTAAAAGATAAAGCTGCTTACATATATATATCTTTCTCGAATTGAGATCTCGATAAATTCCTTTGTGTGATAGAATCTGAGTTAGCTGAGTGAGCAATCTTCAGAAAATGCTCAGATCTAATGCTCACTTTTCTCGGCTATCCCTTGATTACCATCATCATGGTTTCCCATCATTTCGATAGATTGATTGATAGATTGATATCTGTTTGTTATTTTGTAAAAGTGTGAAGTGAATTTGAATTGTTAAGAACTTCTCAATGCTGCGTACAATTTCACAATTCGATTTGAATTTTGAAGTTTGAAATACAAAATCAGTTTTTAGTTTTCATTAGTCTCCTTCTCTTCTCTCCTTCCGCTCTTTACCTCTTCACCTCTTTACCTCTTCACCTCTAATTCCCTTCAACAAACTCAAGTCTTCGTCCTCACTTTCTTCAATCTCAATATCATTCATTCATCATGTCAACAAGTACCGATCTACCTCCATCTCTCGAAGCCATTCTCGCTCTTCGACCTCCACTAGCAACTTCTACTCGTACCGATCTAGCTCCTTCTTTTAAACTTTTACGATCTTTGGTCAATAATGTTTATGGTTCAGCTGCTTCTCGTGGTCTCGAACCTGGTCTTTGGCGTGCTCAACTCTCTCGTGCTGCTCAACGTGCTGCTCAACTCATCCAAGCGGTTTGGTCGAAATTAGGCGGTGAAGGTGGGGTGATCGTAGATGAAGAAGGTGAAGGTGGCAGAGGTGTGATGAGATTACAGGGGTAAGTATTTCGAAAGATTTCCTTTTAACTCCATCTGCTTGGTCGATCAATCAAGATATCTCAAGGTCATCTTTCATATCTTTACCATGCTTGCTGTATAAGCTTTTATGACCTTGAGAGTCAATTTTACCTTTTCTTCGCCACTCGTTTCAATACCTGCACCGAAATATAATTTGACCAGCTGAAGTGATTGTGCACGACTTGATTATTTTCGAAACTGATCATCCTAAACTTGTTTCACTTGGTTTATAGGGTGATCTCTGATTTACAAATCTTTACTGGATCACTTTCATCCGTACAAGATCCACTTTCAAGTCTTTTATTAGACTCGGCTGCTTTTGCGCGTACCCAAGCTACAGTCAACTCTTTAATTAAGAAATTGGCAGGATTGGTTAACCATTATAAAGTGAGTTTGACTTATAGCCAACTACAATCTCAAGTTGAAATCCAAAAACTGATGTTATCCATCACTAATCTCAACTTCTGAATCATTTTCATCATCGATCAATCATCGATCTTTCAATTTCGTCTTATTCACCACCGATCAATCAAATCTATTCGAATTCTTACTTCATTGATCAATCTTTTAATCAACTCATCATCAGGTCACTGAATTAATTGCAACTCCTCTCAGCGATTGGGCCGAAGAAGATAAACTTGACAAAGCTGAAGATATAGCTGCATTACCTATCTTGATCGCTAAGAGTCGACCGAGTAAAGCAGTCCTTCGTAAATTCGAAGCCGATCTTGCTCTACGTGAATCAACCGCTATCGATCCTGAAAATGAGTCAACTTCCGATCAAATCACGACCACTACTACACCGGGGAGCCCGCCTACCTCACCTGACAACTCTCGAAGAGGTCTTGCCACTCAAGGTATCACTGCTGCCAAACGCTCCGAATTCTTACGATTTGTTTACTCGCAAAATCCTGATCTCGTTAGCTCATCTCAAAGTCTCGATACTGCTGTAGCAGTGGGCACAGTAGCTCTCTCTTCTATGAACCATCCCTCTCGCGCTCCTTCTTCAAATGGTGCAGATGATTCAAAGTCAAGTTTGGGAAAACCTTCATTGGTTAAACAACGAATCTCCAACTTTGCAACCAATTCAAATGCACCTGCACCTCTTCCTACTTCACTCAACTTACCTGCTTCTAATCGTAGGATCGCTTCAGATAGTAGTGTGGCTAGTATTGGTAATACTAGGAAAGTTTGGAAGGTTGACACTAGTGAGTTGGATGCGGTTCAACGACGTAGGACGAGTGGTAGTTTCAGTCAACCTCGACCTAGTCTACCTCCACATGTCTCAATCACCGCTCCTCCTGCTCGTTGGAGAACTTCAAGACCTGCCTCAATCACAAGTCGTACGTCTTTGGAGGATGCGGTACCTGAATTGGAGAAGATTGGAGGGAAAACAGCCTCATCGGGTTCGTCTATCACACACTCTCGTTCTATACCATCTTTTTTGACTGGATTTGACCTTGCTCTCCGCGGTGATCACAGGTGTCAATCATCACTCCTCTGTTACTTCCATATCAGACACATCCTCGGACGACCATAAGCCTCCTGCCATTGCCTCCTTTGCTGAACAAGCTGCAGCGATCGTGGCTGCTCGTCAACAGCGGCGCACCGGCACTGCATCAAGTAGCGCATCTTGGACTAAACCTTCCTCATCCCGTCCGGGTTCTAGCTTAGCAAACGTGACCTCTGCACCTGAACCTGATTTAGACGAACCTTCAAAGCCTATCTCGCTACTTTCATCCAGCCAGAAATCCGAGGTGATGACAAGCGAACCGATTGAAACAATCGATGAAACAGCTCGAATAGATCCACCTTCACTTCAACCCCACACCGGTCTATCAGGCTCACCATCTTCGCCACGCTCCGATTCGCCCATGGTCCGAAGTTCCTCGAATGGGTCACAGACCAAACAAGTGAATAATACTCCATCTGAACAAGTCATGATCTTCACTCGACCGCGACCGACAGCCTCCATCACATCTAATTCGACGACACCTTCATCTTCCGTCATTGGCTCTCCCGCTGCTCTGGCTTCTCGTACACTTTCACCTGCCCTCAAATCTACCATCCTGATTAGTAGATCATCGTCCATTGAACGACCTGGTACTGCTTTGTCGAATTCAAACGCAAGCGTCTTCTCGTATAGTAGCAATCTTCCCAATACAGCCATTGAGCCAGAGCCCGACTTTGAATTGGTAGCCGACTTGATCGAAGATCGCTCACTGATTGACGTCATTGTCGGTCCACCTTCGCCTACACTTGAAGTTACACCTCAGGTTTCAGAGCCTCTCGTCCAGAGTGAGGAAAAAGAACCTGAACAGTCTCCATCGTCTACGCCTGGACCAGCAAAGAAGATTGTTGTAAGCCAAGCTTCGAGAGCCGAAGAGGAAAGTTCATTAGCTGATCTATTGGAACGAGCGACATTGTTTGAAAATTGGGATTCGATTGGGATTGATGAACCAAGTGACGACGTGGATAAAACGGAGATTATGGATGGATATGGACCTCAGCTTACCTCTCCATCATCTGCCAAGACTATATTATCATCCAACATGTCACCTCCGGCTTTGAATGGTTCCTTGGCGTCAACGCGGGTTTCACCTGTACAAGCTGCTCCTCAAGTTTTGAAGAGCCCGTCCATTGGATCTCTCTCACCTCCCATGTCAGCTCAGATGAGGACACCCATGTCACCTCCATCGACAGGCAGTTCACTTGGAGGATTTCGACGTCAAGCGCCCAGCTTGCAACCCACATCGCCTCTCTCGCCAACTAGTGAGATGAGCCTACAGCCGATAGATGCAACCCTATCAACCCTATCATCTCACAGTATGATTGGCTTACGTGCTGGCGGGGGACCTTCATCACCCACAAGATCTTTTAGTGGACAATCTTGGGCTACCTCTTTGATGTCAGTTTCGCCGGCAACAGCAGCGGATTTTGATCTACATTCGATCAATAATTTTGCCACCAATGGAATTGGATCTTATTTCACTGGAGATAATGATAATCCACCAAGACATGGATGGAGAATTTTATCTTTAGATGGAGGTGGGATTAGAGGACTGTCAACTTTGTTTGTGATTCGAAACTTATTAGAAAGAGTTCAAAGACGAACTGGTTCGAGTAAATTACCATTACCATCTGAATGTTTTGATGTGATTTGTGGAGTTGGGACTGGTGGGATCATTGCATTATTATTAGGTCGATTAAAGTTTGGAATTGATGATGCTATTGAAGCTTATCTTTCAATCTCAAGAAAGGTCTTTGGACAAGCAAAAGGTGCATTAGCGGTCTTGATGGGTAAAACTCGATATAGTGCTAGTAAATTAGAGTCAGCCATGCGAGATGTGATTCAAAGCGCTGAGAAAGATAGTCGAGCAACTTTAACAGAAGGAAATGGAGATGAAGAGAGGAGTTGTAGAACGTTTGTAATGGCGATGAGAAAATCAGAAGGAAGTGAAGGAACCTTTAGAACGTTGAGATCGTACTCTACACGACAAGTTTTAGGAGATCGATGTACCATTTATCAAGCAGCTCGAGCCACCAGTGCATCACCTTTATTTTTTAAACCAGTGAATATGGGAGATTCAGCACTTTCATCTGTTCCTAGATCTGCTAGTTTAAATAATCCAGCATTAGAAGCCGTAAATGAAGCAAGATCATTATATACAGATCGACCAATAGATTGTTTAATTTCAATAGGAGCAGGAAAAACAGAAGAAAGAAATGGAACGATTGGCCGAGCTTGTGGGGAAATATCAGATGCATGTGAGAATGCAGCCAGTGGAGTAGAAGCAGTTGCAAGAGCAGAAGGATGGACTAAAGGATATGGTAGATTGAATGTCAAGATCAAAAGTTATGGAAATTTTAATGAATGGGAACTTCTTAATGAAATCAAATTAGATACTTTGGATTATCTAATGAATAGGAATGAAGCTGGATTTGAATTAGTGGAAAGATTGGTAGATGTGATTTCAGAAGGATTACTTGAATCTGGTATGTTTGGAAGTTTTTCTTTGCTTCGGATTTCTAGTTTTATCACTTTCAACATCATAGACACTTCATTTTTCTTTTAAATCGAATGAGTAACTTTTTCAATTGAATTTCATTTTTGGGAATCACCCTTTTGACTCTTTTTCTTTTTGATAATTTTGATTTTTGTTTAGCTCGATCGAATTCCGATTACCATTCCAAAGCAATTGATGGTCAACAACCGAATCCAAGTAATGGAAATGGAAATATAATCGGCATGAGAACATCAATTTCACTTGATGGACTTACTCCACCCAACAGTCATCATCATTCTCAAAGAGAAAGAGAAATCAATCCAAAAAGTTCATCTTCCGTTTCTACTTCTTTTCCAATTCAATCATTTCATTCAAGTAATTCATTAAAATTACCACATTTAAATTTCGATTGAAAGAAAAAAAAACCTTTTTTCGTTCATAACGTGACATTTCTTTTTTTTTCCTTTGATATTTTCTTTTGCTCTATTTGAAAGGAAAACTTAACAATCTTTTGGTTCTTTTTTTTTCTGATTCCTTTTTTGGCATTTTTTTTTCATTTTTTTTTCTTTGGCGGGTTTTCGTCTTTCGATTTTTTGATATAGGAAGAAATAGTAAAGCTGCATTTATTTATGTATAAGGTATTTTTTTCTTTTTCTTTTTTGATTTTTTTCTATGATGATGATATGAAGCATTACAATTTTTTCTACAATTTTTTTGGGCGTAGGGGGTAGGGGGTAGATGGGAGAGAATCGGTAAGAAGATTTCGATCACTTTTTTTATTTGGGAAATCTTTTTCTTTTGTATAAATCATTTTTGAAGTCAAAAACAATCCTAAAGAAATGATTTACAAAAGTTTTTCTTTTCTTTGAAGTTTCTGAATGGGTTTCTGATCTTTTTTTATGTTTTCTTTTTTTTTTGGAAATTATAAATTAGGTTAATAAATCCAAAGAGAAATTGAAGAGAGAGTCAAAAATGATTTTTGAGGAATGTGTTGATTTTTTTTTCTTCATAAAATCCATCTTTTTCCTCTTATAATCTTTCGATCTCTTCTTTTTTTCATTTAATTCTTTCTTTTAGATTTTTTTATCTTTTGTACATTTTTCAGTTTTTTTGTTTTTCCTTTTTTTGCTAAACTTATTTTCAGTCTTTGATTTCTTACTGAATGAGAAGAGAATTCGAGATAAAGAAATAATTTTGAAGGGTTTTGAACAAGTGTTCATGAGGACATGAGGTGATTGGAAGATATTGATAGAAATTATTGAAAAGTGAATGGAGAAGAGAAAAAGTTTAGGTATTTGAAGAATCTTTTTACATACACACTTTCTTCAACTGATTTATCAAGTTCATCTTAATTAGTTTATGAATGCCCATAATTTAAAAGAAAAGTGATAAGGTATTGATTGGTTCAATGGAGGTTTTTAGTGAGGTTGTTTGATAAGTAGACTCCTTGACTTGTTGAGGTTTGACGATGTTATGCCTGGTCAACTATACCTAGGAAAAAGTTGAATGATACAGTTTGTATCAAATCTGGTATTTACAATATCATTTTTGAAAGTATTTGTCTTATTTACTTGATCACATTGTTTTCTCTACTTTGATCTGGTATTTGTTTACCTCAAGATTTAATGAACTAGTTGAATTGGTATAATAAACATCCATGGTTTGATTTTTTTGGTTCTTGGAATCTTATGATGAATGGAATGGATCAAAGTCCAAAAGAATACTTTAGATGAGTTGAAATCTTGGAATAATTACCATCACTGAATCTAGTTGAGACTTCAATTTGTGATACCAACAAAATACAGAAGGACAGTGATGTCAGTCAGATCATGAATGAAACTGATGGGTAATAACATTAAAGTTCCCAACAAGGCAAGTTTTCTACTGTGTTTGTTTTCAAATGAAATCAGGTTAAAGTTGAAAAAACAGTGAAGAATTGTTGAGATGAAAAAAAAGTATATGGATGCATTCTGAGTACTAAAGGTGCATTTTTGATATTTTTAGTCTTGGATTAGGTTAACACCCATCCCCACCAACCTGATCTTGTGCCAACTTCCACCAAAGCCTGCACAAGGTACTATACTAATTAGCAGACACTGAGCTTGAAAGGTAGCTAAATTTTTGAAAGGGAATTTTTTAAGAAAGTGGTATTTGTAATTACAGATTATGTATCACTGTGTGAAAGGGACTGGATCTTGATGGATATATACACAACTATGAACCAGTAAATGCCTGATACATTATACATATTTAATAGGTAGGGCCTAGGAGAGCTCAAGGGAAACCTGTAAATGTTATGCAGACACATTGTGAACAAAACCTGTGATTGATGAAAGTTGTAGACTTGGACACATCAACTTTACTCAATTGGATTTTGCAAATATTGATTCTTGTGGTGTGATGGCAAGCTACAATTTCAGTTACTTACAAAGAATCAAAAAATAACTTTTGAGTGTTTCTATAAGATTGTAAACCACCTGAAAGATACATTTTGTAAGTATTACATATTTAGCTGAAAGTTCCTATCTTACCTACATTTAGAAACTCAGGCTGACAATATTTTTCTGGTGGTACCAAACCTATATTTCCTCAATAGTAACCACATGATACTAATGTTCTATGTTACTTAATCAATGCCATAGTTTAACTGTTGTAGGCATGCCCATATATTCTCTAGGTTTGTCATATTGTTTGAACACCAAGATGTTCTAGTTTGGTAATAATGTTTATAGATCATCTGTCTCCCTTGGTTTTACACAACTTTTGATAGACAGATGTAATAATGAAATGGAATTAGAAATAGAAGCAAAGACAAAAAATGAGAAGAAGTAAAGAAAAGAAAATAGGAAGTAATTGTAGATAAGTTTTGTAAAAGTCATTGAAATTGAAGAAAAAAAACTGAAGTTTTCTTCAAAATCTGAACCAAGATAAAAAGATAAGTCAAATCCAAAGAAGAACATCAACATTAAATTTCTTTGTTAAAGATTTGATATTTTTTTAGATTAAGATCAGAGCTCCAAGATCAATGTCTAAGCAAAATGAATGATCCAGGTCCATAAGTTTCAAAAACACGTCAATATAAAAATTGCAAATAACATGAGAGAAGGGTTGTTCTTCTTTTTTAGCGTTTTATCAGTGATGAGCATAGGATTTGAGTGAAAAGAGTTGCCTAGAACTTCTACTGGTGATTGAGGGGTTTTTTCCCTACTCAGGATTCAGAATCAAAACACATGCATCACAGAGATCACAGAGATCAGATTTTGTTTCTAAGGATGCCAAAGACACACTCTTTGCAGGAGAAGAAGTTCTAAGACTAGATGATTTTTGACACTGTGGTTCCATATAAGTTGTACTTGCTGTGTGTAATAGATGGGCTGTTTGAAGGAGTTGAGAAAGATTCCAAAGAAATGATTTCACAGCAAGTTCAACCAAGCAAATCTTGTATCATTTGATCATTGATCTCAAAACAGGGAGGTCCTTCGTGAGCAAGTTGAAGAGGTTCCACCGGAGACAATGCAGTGATCCTTCCAACCAAATTCATAGCACCTTGGAGGTCCAAACACTCTTCAAGACAACAACTTACATCAAGATGAAAGAAACTTGCTCATCCAAAAGAAGGTCCGACATTGAACTCGCTGTCCATATGTAATGAGATGAGGTGTTGGTCACCAAAAGATGCTTTGCCATCAACACTGAGATCAAGATGAAGATGATTATTCTGATCCTCAAAAGATAGATAAGTCTTAAAGAGAAGCTCTTCATAGAGTCTTCTATGTGAGATTCGAGCACTCTATTGATCAAATCACAACTCCTGAAAGATTTGGATGCGAGAAACTGCTGTTCAGATGAAGTGGAAGGCATTTGAGTAGATTTGGAAAAGTTGATGATAGCGAGTAAATCTTCCAGCATTTGATTGTTAATCTTAAAGTGAGGAATTTTGTCTTGAGACAGGGTTTCGATGGTAGACGTTGATGTCTGAAGGGCACTTGACAACTCAATCTTTGGGATTGAGCTAGCCTTAGAATCTTCAAGATAATCATAATCTTTCATTAGCGAGTAATTTTCTCCTTGAAATGATGTCTTGAAATCGAAATCTAGGTGAATCGATCCGTGACGGTCATCAAATGAAGTGTCCAGGTCAAAACTCGGATCAGCACAAAAATGATCATTCTGGTGCTCAACAAACTCATCAACGCGAGTTTCTTCTTTGAAGTCACTGCAAAAGGATAAATTGGAGACATTCTTTTGCCAGAAGAGCTCACTGGTTGAGGAGATCTAGGTCTGCGACTTTGAACGGCCGGATTGGGGGCGAATATGAGTGACCGATCAGACACTCGTGCAATGGAGCGTAATGTCACGGCGTCAACCACGGCGGCAGTGGGCACATTGTCCACGTATTTTGCAAGCTCTCTCTGATCAGGAGGTGTGATCACGATCTGGGAGAGTCAATAAACAACTTTGGTATTAGAAACCGGAATTGAAGGACATCATAAACAACCCAGACACACCTCTTCAACAGACATAGAAGATCCTGTGATACGTCTTTGGCTAGAATGGAGCCTGATGGCAAGAGCGTCATAAGTATTCTGTGGAAATAAAAATTAGCAATGCCATCTTGTGTGGAATACCTAAGTGAAGAGAATGATTTACCGGACTTGATTGACTCAAAGACTAAAGAGTAGAAAATGGAGGATACGATCGAAATATATTGTTATGGAGTTTTGTGTGGGATGATAGCTGATGTTCTTTGGAAGGGGAGCAGTGGATGGTGAGATTCTTGAGAGTGTGGAACTGATAGCAGAGGATGGTGGATGAAGACATTTCGGGAAAAGTGGTGGAAATTTTAAGCTTAACTAAGCCCCTCTCGCGCGGCTGCGTCCGCGCCCCTCGAAGAGGGGCTTACACCGGACTCGTGTTTTTTGGCGGGTGAGCTCCAAAAGTTAAGTCCTCTTACGTTGTTTTTTGGACTTCCACTCAGACCCTCACCGTAGAATTTTGTGACCTTTGAGTATGTTTATCTTCATGAGATGCTACACATTCTTGTACCACTTTTATCCACCACTCAGCTCTGTGACGCTTTCAGGCGAAGTTGCCAGATCGGATTGTTATGTCCTCCTGTAACAGCTTAAGAGGGCCTGTACAGGCCTTCCACAAGATTTGGAATTTTTGTGCTCGCCTCAAGCTTATGACAAAATGGAAAAAACTACTTTTCTGACACAATAAAACTTACAGCCTTTTCGGCGAAAACTCGCAGCTACACGTCTCATCAAACTTGCAACACTTTTTGCAAACCTTTGCTTTGAACAAAAACATATAAAAGTTGTACGAGAATGTGTAGCATCTCATGAAGATAAACATACTCGAAGGTCACAAAATTCTACGGTGAGGGTCTGAGTGGAAGTCCAAAAAACAACGTAAGAGGACTTAACTTTTGGAGCTCACCCGCCAAAAAACACGAGTCCGGTGTAAGCCCCTCTTCGAGGGGCGCGGACGCAGCCGCGCGAGAGGGGCTTAGTTAAGCTTATGGAAATTTATAGAATTCTTGTAACCCCAGTGATTTTGAGAAGGACAAAGATGTGGGTTGAGCGCGTAGCTTGGTCAACACAAGCGTGGCATGATCCAGGAATGTGCGTGAAGTTGACCACCAACAATCTTCCGTTCAGGAATCTGGCTAAGCAGGCAATATATATCATCATGAAATACAAGTCCCTCAGCAGCCTGAGTATGCTGAAACTCACCGGGTTTGCCTGAGGAAGGAATTTTGCGACAAGTCGACCACTTTCAACTGTGCTTTGAAGGATTCACATGTCTTGCGGCTCAGCAGAAATAACTCATCGCTCCCACCAGCCACTTGATTTTGCTGTGAAAATATAGAAAAGGCATACAGATTGTGAACCGACCCAAGCAAAAGGTTGTGGTCCTTTTGTCATGTTTTGAAGAGATTCAAGACCGACGAAAGACAAAAAGGATCTCTCTGTCGGGGACTCGAACCCCGGTTGCCCGCGTGACAAGCGGGAGTACTGACCACTATACTAACAAAGACCATGAAGACCGTGGGATTCGAACCCACGCCCGAGGACCGCCGGATTACCCGAAGGATCCTTAAGACGGCGCCTTAGACCACTCGGCCAAATCTCCTGATGACCGATCTTCGTGTTGTCGCTCCATCACGGCCGGGTCTAGCCCCGTACTACCGTACTTTTGCCATAAGCTCCTCACCACAAATGCACAACAAGTTACAATCTGTGTTCCTTGAATCCACCTCAAGCAAATCATCATTTTAAACCTTGCTCCTCTACTTTCATTGCTCATTCCCAACATCCTCATCTTATCAGTCCTGGGAGTATGAATTTAATTGTTATTGTGACTGGTTTAACTAGAATTCAACTGCTTGACTTGATTAAAATTAAACTAGGTACAGCATTAATCACAGAGTTATGTTGCATCTGGAATTTTATTTATCTGACTAGAACTACCAAATCACAATGACTTTCAACTTGGTTTACATCTTCATGAAAAAGTAATATGGCAGCAAAAGATTTTATGTGGATTACATTCTAGAAATATATATGATAAAGTGAGAGAGTTGAAACAGTTAGTCTTATAATTATAAACAATTCTGAAGACCTTTTGAAATCACTTGCAAGGAAAGGGCAGGTGAAATATCAAAGAACAAGGTTTGAAGGAATCCACTATCTATTGGTAATGAGTGTGAGTGTGAGTGTGATCCAGAATTGAGTCCTGTGACAAATTGAAATACACATCAAAGTTAAACCTCAGGATGCTTGACCATTAATGATCAAACATCATTGATCTTACACATAACTGGCTATGATTCCTGATCTAGAGTGATTACAGATCAGAGTTAACCTGATTGACAGCCCAATCAAACCAAAAGAAAACCAATCCAATCTTTAAACTCAAGGCAAGAAATAGAAATATTTGAATCAATTCTTAGGTTTTCTCAAATCATGATTGATCATAATAGAACTCAAAGATCTTCTTAGAATATTGGCTCACAAACTCATTGATTGTTTCCATAAATTCAATGATATCTTTAATTAACACTCAGTTTTCTTTGTTGTGATAAGCCATATTTGGCACATTGACCAAGTAAGCATTTTAGGTCTACTCAAACAGTGTTCTGATTTTCCTTTTTATAGATCTCAATATTCAATGTGTAAACTTGATGTTGTGCTACACTCCTTGGATCACATCAAGCTGTTCTATATCTCCAAAAATTACAGAGCAGCTATAGGTGTTTATGATAAACATGTGATCTGACTTGGAGGTAGATACTTCTTACAGCCCCTCTTAACTCAGAAGACAACCTGTTGTCAACAGCTCAAAGCACTATTGATTGTGAAACTAACTTAACTGAGTCCCTCCTCCAATTGCCGGTGTCCGGTGGGGCCTACGGAGGAGGAACTTATAACGTATCAGTGTATTTCAGCCTGATTAGAATCCACTTCAGCCCGCACCAAGACCATTCTTACAACACAATATGAGCCTTGCAAGGACAGGAACATAACTAAAATTCAAGGTTTCAAATTTTACAGCTCAATCACTTACAAAGCCAAGTTATCACCCTCTTTTTCCAAATCATTCAGCAGGCCCAATCAACAAAACTGAGTGATCATCAAAGCGCCTTTGAGCAATTTTCCAGAATAGGTAAAGATTTCAACAAATTCACAACACAACAAAACACAGACTCTTTGACAACCCTAATCAAACCATTGAATCACACAAGACTCATTCAAGAGGAGGAAGAAGTAGCCATCCTGGGCACAAACCTTCTTTGCCACTCTAATCAACATCTAATCATTTAATCTGATGGCTCAAGAATTCCTTCCAAGAACACCACAGCAGCTGTGTGGTGCCAGAACACCAACAAGTCAGCTGTCCAGCTGTCATGATTTTTACAGTAGACACATCATTACAAGAACATCAATACAACCACAACCACTTAGATCTTAAGACTCAGACCTTATGTTGTACTTCTTCTATCAAAAGATTTGTTCAGTCCAGAACTGGCTCCTTAGGGAATTCAAGAACTGATCTTTTATTATCTTCTTTTGGAGCCAGGTATGTTATCCATCACTTTATTATCATTTATATTTTGCTGTTATCATTGTACTTCTACTTTGTATATTCCTTCCTTAGGAAACTTGAGGACCAATCTTGTATTATTTTCCTTTGGAGCCAGCCAGATCTAGTAATTTATCATCATCATACTTTTCTAGACTCCAAAGCCCACTATTGTGGCAAGTGATCAGTTATTCCCTTTGAGAGAAACATTCTCTACTTCCGCATCCTTGAGACCAGCATTTAGGAAAAGCACAACTACATGGAACATATCAGACCAAGTACAAAGGTGTACAAATAGGCCTCACAATTGCTTTAAAGACAGCAACCATTCAGACACGAAGAATTTCAATTATCCTTGACAATCAATCTGTCATAAAAGACCTCTGCAACTGTCTGCTGAACATTGCATCTGTATTAGACAGGGAAGAAACTTTCAAGAAATGTTCTTGCTTGACTTTGGCTCTAGCAAGAGTCTCCATATAATGGTGCCCAGGTCAGCACACCATCAAAGGTAGCAAATTCATTGATAGAATTGCTAACAGCTTGGCAAAACGTGAGTTGCCAAGCACTTTTACCTCCACCCCCATGGTGCCCCACCCAAGCAGGTCTCACCACTGCCATTGTTCACCTTCTAACATCAAGCAGCTACCGAACACTCACCAAACCCAGAAAAGTACCTCAAAGCACTGAGTCAACTATTGAAACACAAATGTACCACAATTCCACACCCAAGACCAAACAAAATCTACCTTACCCAATACATCTTCAAAAATGAACAGTGTTTCATTCCCTTGTGTAATTATGAAAAAGGGATAAAAACCAATGACCACTTTCTATTCATTTGCCACAGTTACAGTGGGTAACAAACCAATTTAACATCAACCTTCAACAAACTTTACAATCAGAACCCACATCTGTCCTTAACAGTCCAAAAGCCTTTGAGTGTATCACAGTATATTGCACTTCAACCTGGTGGTCAAAGAAACACTCAAGACCACTCAAATATCCAAATACCTTTGACTTAATTACTTTCACTTGTATGTCCAATCCTTTAGTTCCACCATAAATACCCCCTAACAGTAACACTTGTAATACTTCAAACAACCAGCACATGTCCATTTCACCTTAAGAGTCTTTACCAGAGCAAAGCCCAAGTAATTACAATGCCTGATACCCAAAAGCTCAAGAGACACTTTGATCAATACATAAAAAAAGGAATTCCAAATCTTGGATTTTTAATAATATGAAGCCAGTTTCACTGTACTTTGTACATCATTGACTCATTGAAAAAAAATCTGAATCAAAGATTTAACAAACCAATCTCTCATATCTTGTAAATACATAGTCTTTTAATAAAATATGAAGTGGATCATAAGTACTTGGTTTGATTTGGAACCATAAAAAGTGTAATGATTTACCTGATCAATTGTAGACCTTCCAAGACAGTTGAATGCAAAAGATGTTTTGAACCATGTTTGATTCACATACACATGCATGTATGGGCTAATGTTTTTCCAAAAAACAAAAAAATGAAAATTGTACCTTGAAGTGATTTAGATCCTAAAGTTCAAAAACCTCTTGAAATAAATCTGAAAAGATCCAAAGATGTAGAAAAGTTTGTTTCGTAATCTTACCTGAATTTCTTTTTGAGAGTTTTGTTTTGTGCAAGAATGTGTAATTATGGATTGGAGATCTTTAGCTTCTGTTAAGTAAACCAAAACTGATCAGCCTGAAAAGTGATGAAAAGATGTAAGTCCTTCTTCAGCAGGCTCCAGGGGACACCTGTGATTTGAGTGGGAGTTCATCAAGTTAGATTGTGAAAGGGTAGTGAGTAACACAATCACTAAGGGGGATAAGTCTGGCTAATCGTCAGAAAAAGATGTCGGTTTCAAATTTCTTTGCCTCATTCAAAGTAATGAGCTTTTTTTTAACTTGGGTCATCACATTGGATGCAATGTTTCTCCAAAACAGTCGAGTTCACTTTACACCTTGTGTCAAACTCATTCAAGATAGGAGTGAGGTTTAAAAGGACCCCGGAAAGCTCCAGGTAAACTATCCGACCTAAAATGTATGGATCGAGGGTCCAAAAAAACGCTGACGTACCGACGAAAAAGGAATTTTTTGGGTCTTTCTCGAGCAAAAACCCGTTTTTTTGAATTCAGACGTACCGACCTGACAGGTATGGATTTGTCTTTGGCCGGAAAAAAAGGCCAAAATCAAGTTAGATTGTGAAAGGGTAGTGAGTAACACAATCACTAAGGGGGATAAGTCTGGCTAATCGTCAGAAAAAGATGTCGGTTTCAAATTTCTTTGCCTCATTCAAAGTAATGAGCTTTTTTTTAACTTGGGTCATCACATTGGATGCAATGTTTCTCCAAAACAGTCGAGTTCACTTTACACCTTGTGTCAAACTCATTCAAGATAGGAGTGAGGTTTAAAGGTGCCAGAGGTTTGCGCGAGATGTACGACTGTATCTTTAGTAAAGATGGGTCATGAAGTCCATGAGCATCATCATTTACTTTTACATCTTTTGTTGGTCACATGAATGGATGTCGTCATCGACGAGAAACTGGATTCTTGTATCCTGATTCCTCAATTCCATAAAACTTGATTACCGATCTGAGAAAAACTCGCAAGCCTCACATCAAAGGAGAAATACATACATCACACTTTGATCGCAGCAAAGGAGTTTTTTTATTGTTCGAAATGGAATCACAAACATCTTCAACAAGTAGGGTGATAAAAGCGGATTAAATAAGAATTTGAAACAGCTTGAGACACTCCTACAATAAACACAAGTCTTTTATTTTTTTTTATCACAAAGTTTCATAAGGGATACTGATCAGATTAATCTCGAAGGGGTGATCGACTAACAGCTCGCCCTTTTTCGGGGACATCATCGTGTGCATGAGCGCGACTAGAGTGATGATAATCATCGCGTTCATCTTTCACATCCTTGACTCGGTCAACTCTGTCAAGTCGATCAAGTCGATCAAGTCGGTCGAGGCGGTCACGATCATCAAGTTTGTCAACAGGAGTGGGACTGCGCCTGGGGGGAAGGGGACTACGACTGCGACGGGAAGAGCGGCCGTGATAAGGACTAGGCGAGCGTCGACTGCTTCTACCATGGTAAGGAGATGGGGACCGGTAAGAACGACGAGGTTGAACGGGAGATCGGTCCCGACGCTCATACCGCCAGGAAGATGAGGGCGCATTTTTGGCCCACTATTGGCAAAGCAAGAAAGGTCAGTCAATACCGATCCATCAGGACTTGAAAGGAATGAACTTACTTGGACATTCAAAGTGTCACCATCGAGACGACGGCCGTGCATTTCATAATAGGCATCAGCAGCGTCACGATCGTCCTCAAATTCAACAAATGCGTAGCTGCAAGTGTGGTATGAAAGAGCCAGAGATCATATTACAAATGATCAAGCACATCAAATCATCCAGAGGTGATTGAGTGGTTCAATGGAGTAGGAAGAAAGAGACGGGTTCGTAAGCGTTCGGGAAATTCTTCTTCGTCCATTGGAAAACGACGAAATCGAAGGGAGAATATCGTTCGACACGAGGGGGCGAAGGAGCGAACGCGCATGGAGCAATACCAAGGACAATCCTAGGATCTTTGAAACACGTCTAACGCGAACAAAGTAGGAATGGCAATGGGGTCTCGACAAGGCAATGGATGCATCGGTCGCATTCGGTCGGATCGAGGGACTCGTAGGATCCGTAAGTGGATACGCATGGGACGATGATGGGCTGAAACCCATCGCTCAGCGAAGGAAGGCCAACATATGAGGCGATGGGATAGATAGACGAGAGAAGGAAGTGAATGAAGACCAGAGCGAGAATGTAGGTAGGTGGGATCTACGCTCGATGCGGTTGAACTGAGTAGGCGTTCGTAGCGATCGATCGCCTAACGGTACTTGCTCGAGCTCACAATGAAGCAACTGAGAGGGGCGAGAAGATGAGCAGATCACGAGCGAAAGAAAAATGGGGAGGATCGAATGTGGAGAGATTGAAAATGAAACCATCAAACATCCGATCAAGATGGTTTGAATGGAAGCTCGAAAGCAGAAGAACTGCGGTATCGGGATAGTTGAAAAAGTTGAAAACCAAGTCTCGCAGGACCATGTCTCGAGCAGAAGCGAGTGGATGTTGAGAAAAGAAAAAGAAGTGATGAATCGAAGATGAAGCTCAAAGAGAGAGGTACACACGTTTTGGCATTTGAACTTTTAGCAGCCGGAATGTCGCATCTCACCAATCGTCCGTAGCTAAAAAGGACGAAGAAAAAGAAGTTTAGGAGGTGAGATGAGTAGAAGAAGTAAAGGGTGATGAGAAGAAAAGACTTACCGTTCGAACTCATAAGCAAGATCTTTAGCACGCATTTGACCAAAGCCAGCAACGAAAAGAGTAGTTTTACGCATGATGAAGAGAGAGTGATGAAAGAAAGTTGAGTTGTGTTAGAGGTTGAGTATGTTTTTTGTTTATGAAGGAAGTTGAAGTATCTGGGGTCAGGAGATGATCAATGGTAAACGCGTTTGAAGTGAAAGGAAAACCGGCGAAAGTCAAATCCGCAGGAATTTATATCGAAGAAAAACTTTGACCGCAGCACTTCATTGTCCGCAGCAGTCTTACAGGTTTCATATACACTACACCTCCGACGTCATAATTTCGACTGTACAAACATCAACAAAGGACTTGCAAGACTTGCCCTGTCCCCGAAACAAAGAATCACTCAGCCAATTTGATGACACGTCACCACCTCTCACAGATTCAAGTTTCAGTCAACTCGTGACTATAAAGCTGTTTACCTTGCAAGATGAACCCTTTTCGGATGTGAGTACATAGTGAGCTCTTGTTGAGATATTCGAGTACTTTGGACCATAGTCAAATGTAGAATTTTGACTTTATATAGAGGTGAAGAGAGGTGATGAATAGATATGCATGTATTTCAGCTTCATCACATTCTTAAAGGGCTTTTTGTCATTGTTTGATTTATCAAACAAGATATGATTTCAAAACACCAAGAGATCTTGATATATAGACATTGATACATTCAACTTGACTACATATATATCAAGACTTCCATCATTCATCTCTTTTCCCTTTCTTTGTGAATCTAAACAAACAAAAATATTTTTTTCATAATGAAAACTTTATTGAAAACAAAGCAAAAGAAACTGTATATGATACATAAAGAAAAATGAAAAAGATGTGTATTCCATCCCAAGAATGCCGATATATTTTAAAAAAAAGGATTTAATCAAGCCACATATTCACAATGCCAAAAGTTTTGAGAAACCACTATGCATACCAAGGATCAACTTGGAGCATGACAACCTGTACAAGCTATATAAGGAAGTAAGTAAATAAGTGAGTGATGATAAAAACCAAGTTAAAAATAAATACATAAACCAAGATAAAGATAAGAAAAACCTTACTAATAAAAGGAACTTTTTCAATTTTATAATGACACTTCTATTCAACTCCAGCTGGATTTGTACATTCTAAAACCAAGTTTTTTGTTTGAAAAAGAAGGTTTCAAAATGATGATTAGATAGAGAGAGGAAAGGATTAGGAACTGACTATAGAAAGTTGCGTCTATGATACTATAACTTGAACAACACCAAAAAGAAAAACAATATAAATATTCAAAGATGAAATTGTTTGTTTGTTTGTTAAAGACAATGATGAGAAAACAAAAGAGATTTACCATCTTTATTACACTGAGAAGATGGACAATTCCATTCGAAATATTCATAAAGATCTTGACAACCTACATAAAAGCAAGTTAGAAAAAAAACCCGCAAAAGAAAATCAATTTCCAAGCCTATAAATCGTTCAAGGTTTTTCGAAAAAAAAAACATGAATGGAATGGAATAGAAGGATTGTAATTGTAACTTACCTATGGTTGTTGGAGAAATAGATCTATATCCTAGTTGACATTTTGTACTACCTTTTTGTGATTTGATAAAATCAAATTGAGTAAGCAAGAGAAGAAAAATGAAAATGTTTAACTTGAGATGAGAGTTTAATGAAAACATGATGAAGATTGAAGAAAACAACACCGGGTAAGCAACACAACAACACGCTACGACATGATTTAACATTGTGTTGCTCTACCTCTCGCGCAGTTGTGTTACCGCTTTTGATAGTGTAGCTGTGCAATAAAAAGGGAAAATCCCGTGATATTGTAGCGGTGCTCTGACCCAGTCACGTTACACACGTTATCAGCAACAAAAGACGCAACATGCAACATTCACGCTACAAAGCAACACCACGCGTAAGTGAAAAAATAACAAGGACTTGATTAAAGGAGAACAAAATTTTCCAAGCGCCCAAAGTATTAAAAAGTATTAGGAGAAATGAAAGTATTGAAGCCAAAGAAAAAGAAAACAGTATTTAAACAATAAAGAAAAGTAGTAATCAGTTCATGACAGTACCCAGTGCCTTCATCACTTGAGCAAGCTCAGCATAATGTTCACCCAAGTTAACCCCCTCTCTTAGCCATAACCTACTCAACACAAGACATTCAATTGTTCAAGCAATCAGCGCACCTTGGGCAGACAAGCAGACATCTGAGGCGCATGAAAATATGCGCTCAGGAGCGCATGAGGACCCGGTTGCAGCAAGGTAGTCCTTGGCCATGATGGCCAGAATGTGATAGTTCTTTTCATGGGTCTAGATACAATAACAACGTTAGTATGAATGTAATTAAGTTTTCAATAATTTTGAAAACAATACCTTCCACCATAGAAGTCTGTAAGGTTCTCTATAAGAGGGACCTTCACTAAACTTGCTGGACTCTCACGGTGGAGTCTAACCACTGAAAACTAATGTAGAACTCTTGTGTGCATTACAATTTTGCTAGATAGCTCCAGTCGGGGTTTGTCAAGAGAAGAGAAAACAATGAATAGAGTGATGATGACTCTTACCTAGCTCCAGTCGGGGTTTGTGAAGAGAAGAGAACCCAATGTGGATCCAGGGTTAACTGAGAGTAATCAGAATGAACCTATCTAAACCCATGCTGTACAAGTCCTTAACACATCCTTACAAAGTCCTGCCGCAGGATCCTGCACGTTGTAGTCCTCAGCTTTCATCTTGTCAACTCTCTGTAAAAAGTTTTTGATCTGGACGTCTTCAGGTTCTTGCACATCTTCTTCCTCATCCGAGTCTTCACAAAATATTTTGGGGATCTCTTGTATAGATGAATTTTCAAGTAATGCCAAGATTAGCAGATTCCAAGTTCTGGTAGGAACTGGACTTGGTCTTGTCCTTCAAAATGTGGTTGTGAGTAGTTATATCAGATTGTGATGCTTTGATTGTGGTTGAAATGTTCACCACTCATCCAATTATTTCTCACAAACATAGGTGGCAATCCAAGCTAACGTGGATGATCATGATATTCCACAAGCAACCAGTTTATCCTCCTTTGTGTAAGTATTCCTAAAACTGAAAAGGACCGTAAGGAAATTGAATAAAGTGAGCTTTCAGCTAATTGTATATCGTTTGTTTGCTTTGAAGACAATTAATTGGTGGAGTCATCAGTATTGCAGTAGCGTAAGTCATGTCCCTCAATAAATCTACCGTGTTAGTTCTTCTATTCACATCACTTTCAAATATTTGAAACTAGTCAAACTGTCTTTGGTAACACATTGAGCCAAAACCTGGAAAAACACACACCTGATGCACCAGCTGCACTCATCCGATCCTCTGTACAGAGCATTGCACAAATTTTGGATTCATTGAAACCTGGTGTAATTCATGCCTATACTGAATCTTGAAGACAGGTTGGTTCCTTTGAGAGATTCATTTTCTAAAATTAAGGGTTTTCTATCATCCTGACTTATGTATTATAACATTGTATATCATTTTGGTAGGTTTATATGTTAGGTATCGTCTGTGGAGTTGCTTCTTTCTTTGCAGCATTTTTGGTTACCAACAAGAATATCAAAAAAAAGCAAAATTCATTCATCTGAACTGTCTGTTTGATCTAACTAATCTTCTTCACTTGAGTTTCTGATGCATGACACACTTTCAAAACTCTCTTTGAAACTTATCATTCAAATAAGAAGAACAATCTGCGAACTTAACAAAGTCCCTCGCATGCGGTAAAACCCGGAGCCTGCGTAGGGACTTACGCCAAATGTGACTTTCGTGGCGTGAGCGGTCATTGAGTTTAATAGAGGAGAAAAGCTCTCAATAGAAAACTTTCGTTACACGAAAGCTTTTCAATTTTCCTTTTGAGAAATAAAAGTCTGGCCTCTTGCGGACCAGACCCTCCATTCAGATCTTCCGTAACTTGAGCCATGCTCAAGTTTCTATTGCCATCCAAAAAACGAAATCTCGATTTTCAAAAACCAACGAAATCAACCGCTGCTGCGAGATGAATAAAATTAATTACATAGCAGATTTTAATCCTGACTGTAGCAAAATCATGGGTTGGTGAATCTGATGGTAAAATCAAATCGAGCTCCAACAGCTCACTTGAAAAAATCGCCTTGCACCAATTTCACCGCAAGAAATAGTTGATTACCGTTTGACCAAGTCAACGACACCTTTTGTAGTCGACACCACTTCTTTGCCAATCAAACTGATATAAGCAATGTCTCAAACTAGACCGGCTAAGCCTGCTCGCCCAAGTCGAGTTGTTCAAATATGTGAATTCATTGATTCTATACCTTCGTTTGATCCAAAGAAGTTTGTGCAATCGTTTCTGGATTCACCGGACTCTACCTTAGCAAGTCGCCGCCGCCTCTGGGCAACAGCTACAGGCTGGTCTTCAACTACTCGGCTTATGAGATCAATCAAAAGACTTGCAAAATCTACAGCTGCTGGAACAGCTCTATGGGAGTCTTTCATATCAGACGAGGTTGAGTCAATTGGGACTTATCTTATATTTGATAGGTGTCCTAACATCTCTATTTTCACTACGTCAATTTGCTTCCATCAGGCTGAGCAAATAGTAATTTCTCAGTCAATGCCCAGCGGCAAGGCCCCGGATGGCTCTTTTTATAGCTCTAAAGCAATCGACCACGCCTTCTTTGAGAAAGATAATGAAGAAGAAAGAGAGAGAAAAGTTAGGCAACATATGCCATTCCTCTACAACCTTATACAAGCAAAAATCAAAGACGCTCAGCTTCAAAGAAATTCACGAAGAGACTTAGAGGTACAACTGAAACGAAAGCGATCTGAAACAAATCCTAGAATTGAAGAGGATGATGATTCTGATTCTGATTCTGGACTCGCACTTGAAACCAACAAGGATGCGGAAAACGTTGATAGAACTAGCGATGATCCTGCAGCGTTGCTTGACACGCGTGAAGATGTTTCCTACCATCGGGAGACTGAGCGTGAGATTCAAGAACAATTTCAGTTGACTCAGATTCCCATGACTGTCTGCTCAATGATTAGTTTTGTCTGTAATCGGCGTCACAATGGACTCGCCATGCTCAACTCTGTCACTTTTCTTGCCAGTGGTGTGCCACAGCGTGCTCATGACTACCTTCACTCTTTGGGACTCACATCGGCTTCAGCAACTGCCAACAGGTGCATGCTTACATTAAAAAAGAAGACTGAAGAACAACTTCGCTATCAATCTGCTCTCGATTATGTCTTCCAGCCATTGATCACAGCCGACAATATTGATATCATGAAACGGGTTCATCACACCCGAGTTGATGAGAAATCAAAGATTCACCACGGCAGCTGGGCTTATACTCATTTCTTACCCGAGCACTTACAGAAGGAAATCAAACCAGAAGAAGCCACTGTTGAAGCTTTTCAGGCCGCCATGAAAGCAAGCGAAACTGCACCAATCGAATTGTTTAACTTTTTACCCGATGAAGCCGCAAGTGATCATTGGAAACGTGCGATCAAGGCTCAAATCGCGACTGCTTTAATTCGCCATGTTGTCGAAAAAGACAGTGCAGCCTACAAATACTGTAATAAAAACCTAGCAACATCACCTCCGCCAATTGATCAGATTCCGGTCGAAAAACCAGATATAATGATGTTTAAGATGATGGCTGCTTCAGACGACTCAGCAGGTGGTGTTGCTGAGATGATTGAACAGCTGTGATTTCAGACTGGACTTTCAGAAGAAGAATATGCTTCAAAGCTACGAGTTATTGAGGGAGATCATGGCACCTGTAAAAATATTCAAAGCTTAATTACAAAATCTTTTCCGGCTGAACATCAGGATGAAGCTCACGAAGAACTGATCACTATTCTCGGAGCTGCACATACTCTATGGAATGTCAGCCAGACAATTCTTTTAAAATATTGGGGGGATCCAAAAGATTCTTCTGATACAGGCGCGTGGAAATCTTGGGTAGCACTCGGTGGAAGATCTGAGAAGCCTGTTTCAAAGAAAGATTTCAGTTCCATAATGGAAATTGTACATAAAGTCCACACATCAACTTTAGTTTTCTTGCTGCAGTATGTACAAATCTTTTACTTTCTGCCATTCAAGTTGAAATCGACTAACTCGTATCTTTCTTGACTGGCCACTGTAGTCAACTGATTGCTTCAAAAGATACAGCCTTAGACCTTGCTGAGGAGGGTGTCGCAGAGGCACTGGTTGAAGAGTGTTACTTCAGATACTGTTCTGATGAATGTCGTGCTGATTTGTCTGAGGTAGAAGATGGTAACTTACATAACATGAAACTTCGAATCAGGGACTTTTCTTCAGTAGTTGAAGCTGACAGAGCTATGCGACAGGGTGATGTGGGGAGAATGATGCTTATGTGGAAGCGTTGGGCAATTCTCGCTCAAGGGATGGAAGGAATGGGTAATTATTCACTTGCTCTTCCTTGTTACATCCTTTTACTGGAAGAATACCTACCACCCAGTGTTGGTCGAGCCCTTCGACACTCACTTCTGGTATGTCCAAGTGGACGTGCTGGTCATTTTGTCGCAAAAGACTTCTACTTGGAAATGCAGAATTATTGGTTAAAATACTTTTACAATCATTCAGTACGTCAATCTACTTCAATCCAAACTTCACAACTTCAATCACAATTCTTGAGTGTACTGAAATAATCTCAAATTACCCCAGGGCCAGGGAACTGACATTGAACGGCTCACAAATCGCTTCTCAGTAAACATACCCTTGGTAAGCATCAAGATTTGAATTGATTAAGTTTGCTGATCAACATCCGATCAAAGTCATCCAAATACAATATTTATTGACCACATTTGATAGATGCGACAAGTAATGCATCGACTTAAACTACGCTCAGGCTTGAAAGACATATATCAGAGTAAATCGATCACAATTACTGATCGGTCTTTACTACTTTTCATGCGTATGGCTCGCGACCACCTAACCGATCCTAAAATCCGCCCAACCCAGCGTCCAATACCCAACATCGAAGGAATCAAAGACTTCTACAGCCTGGGTGTCATACAGTTTCAAAACATTCTCACTGAAGAAGCACGAAAAAACAAGTTCAATAAGTTTAAATTAGGTGGACCCCTTGCTGAAGTTACTCGATTCAGCTCTTCAGCCATCGACACAGAAATCAACGGAGATTAGTTCAAAAAGACAGAAGACAAACATTATTGACAATTGCATCCCTAATATGTGTCTGGCTTCCTTCCATCCTCCTACGACGTTGTTCGCGTGCAATCTCTTCTTTTTCATATTTCTCAGCAGCCTTCTGTAAGCGTGTAGCTTTACGTTCTTCGACTGCTCTTGCTTCATCTTCTTTCCTGAGGATTTGGGCTTGTTTTTCAGCTTCGTGTTCTGCTTCGATTAGAATTTCATCCAAGTAGTTTTGATCTTCATCGATTTGATTCATTTCCATTTTTAATTCTAACCTTGAGTATGCATCTGAATGTAACCACAATTGAATGCAATTGTTTATCATTTGAAAAATACCCGGAATGGCTTGGCTTCCTAAGAGTTTACGTAGACACAAGCCTTCTAAAATTAATCTATAGTTCTTCACAATTAGCCAAGCATGTTCTCGATTGAATAAGACATCCAGAGCCACACCACAATTCTTCAGAGGTGATTTGCGATAAAGAATTTCGCTGTGACCAACTAGAGATACTGCAAGCTCTACAAACTCTCCTTCGAGGCGAATTGGGTCGTCTCTCTTACATAATAACGGCTTGATGGTCGAGACCACAAGATTTGGAGGATACCACAAGTAGGGTAAAGTTGATTCTAGTGGATTTGATAGATCAAGAACCGGCGTGGAGATCAGATGACTTAGATCTGACTTTGAAGTCTTTCAAAAAGCATTGATAAGCTGGATTGCTCCTTCAGGCTCGCAATTTGAGCAGGTACAGTTTGGCATCCATGCCGCTCGCTGGCGAGCTATCTCGTTCTTATATTTATTGTTGTCCACCGACAGAGGAATGTATCCAAACCTCCTCGCCAATAGGAATTTATCAGCAAACATCCCATTTGTCGGAGACTATTCAAAGTGGAACTTACAAGTTGTCTATAGATAAAGCTACACGAAGACAGACAGGTGTGATTGCTAAAGCATCCATCCTTTCGTCATCTCCCATCTCTTTTCCCTGTTCAAAATCTGAAATCTTGTTTTTACCACTCGGACGGTTTGGTTTAACAAACATGATGCCTAAACCAAGACTCCCAGAGCGACCCGCACGCCCAACCATCTGTATTATTGTTGAGGGATCCATTCGACCAACGACCACCACACAACTGACAGCCTTCCAGTTTGAACCAAGTCCAAGGGCTGAAGTGCTCGACATCCAAGGGAAATGACCGTCCACAAAGTCTTTCGCGCGCTTCTCCTTATCCTTCGCACCAGTGATTGCATGGTACCTTTGAATGAAACTGCTAGCTCCGTTTGGTAAGTCTTCAGGAGTTCCACGAGCCAATTGAGCCATTGCCATCACATTCAAAGTAGCATCTTGTGTTCTCGAGTAGACAATTGTCACCGGAAGCTCCTCATTGGTGAGAATTGATTTAGGAGCTACTAAACGTCTGATATCTTGCGCTGTGGGCTGAGGGAACGCTAGATCCACTCGAACAAGGCGGATCTCAGGCCGTGTTAGTTCTCCTTGAAGGATGGTGATGTTATACGGTGTGATCTTCAAACTACCTAAAATCATTCGAATCGCAACCGGTCGACATGTTGCTGACATCAAAAGCAACCTCACATTTTCAGTTGCCATCAAGTGGTCGCCTAAGTTTCCATATGCTGGTCTGAAGACCCCGATATCTTGGGAATTCTTGAAAGTTGACAGTAGCTTTCCTGGCCCGCTAGCAACCAAGCCCCACATGTAGATCATGTGAGCTTCATCAACTACCTTCAGGACGAGTTGACACTGGAAGCTGATACTATTATATATTGCTTCGAAGGCTTCAGAGTTTAAGAAGATCTCCGGACCCTGATAATATCAGTAGATGTTATATTAGCAAATCATTCTTGATGAATTATAGGTACATCCTTGTATCTCACCAAGTAAATAAAGCGGTAACATCCTTTTTTGAGTCGTTGGATTGTTTCATCAGTCATACTCCTCTTGGTCAAGTTGATTGCCGAGATACGACCTTCTTTCTCCAAGACCTGATTGTCTCCAAGCGAATCGAGAGGGTTCAAGACCATAACTACAGGTAATTGTGATTCATCGAATAGATAGTAATACATCTCCGCAATTCTTGTTTTTCCGTACCCAGTCGCAGCTAGCAGAAAGGTGTTATCGCCATTGATCAGGCAGACAACAGCCTTGACTTGGAGGCTTTTAGGCTCTACTCCGAAAATCTCTCTGAAGCGCTTGGTAACGTAGTCTGCTTGTTCTTCAAGGTTCATGCCTTGCAATGCAAGTGGTAACGGAGGCTTGTTTTGGCGTAGCAGATCGTTCGATGTCAAAGTTGGTGCGCTATGTTTAGCCGCCACCAGGCTCTCCGCCTGTATTCGATTGGCTCTTGTCTGCATGGCCACTGGATTTCTGATGAAGATGTGAATTGGATGAAAAAAAAGACTCGCAGGAATCTTTCATCAATCAATCTTATTATCTCGGTTTGGCTCTTGGGTTTCAAAAGACCTCTTGTAAACCATCATTGGTTTCTGCCCAAATGGTAAAAGATCGTGGTCATTGGTGTAATGTCTTTGACCGCAGTTGGTTTTTGAAAATCAAGATTTCGTTTTTTGGATGGCAATAGAAACTTGAGCATGGCTCAAGTTACGGAAGATCTGAATGGAGGGTCTGGTCCGCAAGAGGCCAGACTTTTATTTCTCAAAAGGAAAATTGAAAAGCTTTCGTGTAACGAAAGTTTTCTATTGAGAGCTTTTCTCCTCTATTAAACTCAATGACCGCTCACGCCACGAAAGTCACATTTGGCGTAAGTAGGACCCCGGAATGCCCCCATAAAGGGTAGTCTAGTAGAAAAGTCCCTTTTGAGCTCCCGCGGAGCTACACTTCATGGGTTTATACCCATCTCTAATTAAAATCAAATTTCTGACTTTGGTTATTGCCAGCCTTTCGAGTCTTTGACAAGTACTTGTACTTTGTGACATGAAGGCTGACACTTGGATTGTGAAACGTTGTGAAATGCCGAGGTCGATTGAGCTTGAGGCTGGAGCAAGAGACCTTTCATAAGAGATTGTATATGATTTGCTTGTACTTCTTTGTTTTCTTGTTGACCGAGAAATTTTTATTTCAATCATCAAAGATGTCTACGCCTTCAAATGAAATATCTAATGTCTCAACATCAACGACTTTGCGCACTGCCAAACAAAAACTATTGGCTGAGCGAGCTGCCAATAAAGATGCCAAAAAACGCAAGGATTGCCCGTTGAAAACGGATGATGATCAAAACTGCCCAGAATGTGCCTTTACAAAGGATGGACCTGACCAATGGTTACACTGCCATTGTGGAAACTCGGTCAAAATGATACACGGTAGGATTCACTATGCCAAAGCCCATTGGGAGTCAAGTAAGTCATCGGTTCCTAAAGCCAATAGATCTTCGTTGATTGTCCACTGATGAACCAACATAATTTTTCATGTTTTGATTGTCTTCAAATAGTAACTTGTAAGACAGCAACAGCAAAGCTTCGACGGGCTGTAGATCGACCAAAAAGTCTTAATAGTTCAAACAACCAGCCACAAGTTTTTGACGTCCGATGTGCAGGCCTGACTGACAAGACATGGCTGCGTCCAGGTCAACAACCTATATTGACATGTATCCAGCATTCCTGCACGGCTTATCACGGATATCCACCGAGGTTTACTGTATGTCTCCAAATGTTTAAAACCCCGCTAGAGAGCTCGCTGTCCGATATCCAGAAGCATGAGCTTCAAGAAGAGCTCTTGTCGCTTTCCACATGGATCATCAGGCGTGATGGAAGTCAGGGTTCGATTCATTCCACCAAATGTACACAGCGAGTTTCAACCCTCGATTCTGGGGCTGTTGAGGTCTGTGTGCCTTGCTTGGAGCTCAAGAAATCTTCATCATTAAGCAAAGCTATCACTCGAGGCTACGCATCGGATGATACACTCAGATTTGTTGCAAAAAATTTCATGGATAGGGGTCCATTCCACGAACTTCTTTTACGCTATACTGAGCTACAGCAGTTGATTCAATCAGTCGAACGATCAACAAGAGCTGGCGACCTAGAGTTCTGGACAACTTTTGGTGTCCACGCCCGGGCTGGACTGTTTAAAGATGTCCCAATGCTTCGAGCAGTAGCAGAGGGAGTTGCCATTCGGGCTGAAAGGGAAGCAAAAGGCTTAACAACTCGTGGAATGCCATTCAACGAGTACCTCGACAACATGCTTACAACTGCAGGAGCATACTCCAAAGGTGCTTCTGAGCTATTTCGCGCAAACCTTGCTGGACGCTCATCTTGTGGCTTTCGCTTACAATGCCAACGGATTGGTGCTCGGATGCACGATAAATTTCACATCGATAATGTGCTTCCGGTAGTTGCTTGGCTTGAGCGATACGGATACAGTGGGCCAGTATCAGCAGGAACAGACCAGACGGTATGCGTGAAGGCGCTTCGTTACAACAACAGCTGTTTGGTTGGTGTAGAAGGTGGTGATGTCGAAGTTTCCAATCTCGAACACCTAGAGAAGTTGGTGGAGCATGCAGTTCAAGGAGATCACCTGTGTAAGAAGGTCAGTCTTCTTTCTTTGGTGAGATTCAACTTTCAAACTTCACTTCCAGATTTAAGTTGACAACAGCTACCTTTATCTCAGATTCGAGCATACACTCTACAGGTCCCTCTTCCGAACGTTCCTACATTTGTGGTGGCTTTGATTTCTAGTCGTGAGGATGAGTCTGCTGAGGATATCAAGGCTCAGCACCTTCAGTTCATTGATCTACTTGAATCTGTTGGAATTCGACTCATCTCGTTGGGGTCTGATGGTGCAGCATCTGAAGTGCTCGCACAAGAGTTACTTGTCAACTCGGCGACAGAACATTTGGAGTTCTCAGCTCCCAAACTCAGTGTCAACATACGTGTTCCACTTCTAGGGGCCTCGAAACGACCAGTTGTAGTAGTACAAGATCCTAAACATGCTAGGAAGACAGCTTCAAATCAACTACTTTCTGGGGCGCGTTTCTTAGCTTTTGGACGATTCAACGTCAACCTTGACCAGCTCCTCACTTTGCTCCAAACTGAAGAGTGCCCACTTGGCTATAAAGATGTATTAAATACAGATAAGCAAGATGATGGGCGAGCTTACCGAACTTTCAGCGAGGACACTTTCAAGGCTGCTTGTGCACAGCCAGATTGTCTTGGTCTGGTATTGTATCTCTACATATTTGGCGAGCTTGTTGATTCTTGGTTGAACCAGAGCATGCCACACCGAGAAAGGATTATTTCAAGTTATACGGCAGTCTTTTTTGTACGAAAGTGGAAGGCATATCTACTCAAACGTCAAAAGGAATCAGGGAGCTTGATGAATTTATCCTCAAACTGTATCTCACATCAAAGCATCCGAATATTTGAAAAGCTTGGTGAGAGTCTCTTGGGACTCATCATTTCTCACCGTGACCACTACCCTACGCACCCGCTAATGCCCTGGAAACATGGCACTGAGTGTTGTGAGCACATCTTTGGATGGATGCGGGTAATTTCTCCAACTTTTACTGTATTAGACGCAAGGCAGATGATGCCAAAGATATTTGCTGTGATAAAGAGCATCATGAGTGGGCATATCACATTACCCATGAGTGAGAATCTGCACGCAGGTAAGTTTTCTAACCAGAGTCTGCTTGTGTTTGTTATAAAGCTAATCAGAGTCTAATTTAATAGGCTACAAACACGATTTCTCACCCAATAACACTCACGATTTCAGCTACATCCTCAGTCAGTATCCCAGCAACAGCGAAATCAATGAACTACTTGAGCTCGCGGAATCTCGGGCAGAAGAACTAGCAGCTTTTTCTGGCATGACAACAAACAATTCAGCAGCACCACTCAACAACTTCACATCTGAGGAGGCCTGTGGTGAACATGAGCTTGATGTATCTGTATCAATACACAAACGATCTTACCTGAACTATCCTTTTGAACCTGAAACAATCACTGTTGAACAGGCATTAGAAACTGCAGCGGGATTGACAAGCCAGCACCAAGAAACCGATGTACTGATGTCTCAAATAACTGTGAACTTGGAAGCTCTAGCACTCGAAGTCCCCACCGATAACATGATACAACAGACTACAACCAATCAGCTACTAGAACCATATGTGACTCCTTCGACTACGTCAGAAGCTCTGGTGAAATCAGATGGGACTTTGCACATTGACCAAATGCTGTCCAAAAGACACGCACATGACAGTCAAGTCAAAAATCATCACGGTCCAGAGAAACCACGTATCACATCAAAAGATTTACCTGTCCCGCAGTACGATCCAGACACCGGCCACGAAGTTTTGTTGCCGAGTCAATACAGTAAAGCAGTTTCCTTCTTCTGGCGTTCGCACGAGGATCCAGAGTACGGTGAAGCCCGTAAACATCGGTGGAGAACCCTTGGAAAGCGCAAGTCGCGTGAACTAACAAACAAGCAACCTGACATAAATGTTGCAGAATCAGGTGTAGGATCACAAGTCCGGGATGTAGACGAAGTAGATCATAGACCAGATCAAATCTTCGGAATGGGTGCAATAACAGCCACAAATCCTCTTACTAAAAACAAATGGGTTGTAGTTATAAAGCAAGATGTTAGCATCAATTTTCATATTCAGTTAAATGTTTTCTACATACTGATGTCGTATTTGCCTCTTTGTTGACTGAGCAGTACTTCTACCTTGGCCAGGTTCTGGCTGTGTTTGAGCATCACTCAGGAAAGCACGCGTGGATTGCAGAGGCTCATTCACGCGAAAAGGTATCCTACATCTCACTTAAGATCTATCAGTACAAGCCAGGTCAAGCAATTATTCAAGCAGCTCATAATGAGGAGCTTCCGAATGAATTTACCTTCAGTCATCTTCCTGCAAAATATATTGCGTACATCTTCACACCACAACATGATGAATCAGTCTTCTTGTTACTTGAATCTGGTCATTATCGAGTGCCTTCTTTGCTTGATTATTTGATTGCTAGTCGTCCTGCGTGGCAACGGCTGTTCTCGCCTCAAGGCGTCAAAAAATCTTCTCATAGGCGAATGAGGAAGGCTGTGGAAAACGATTTGTAGTGTTGATGTTTAGTAGACCTATAATTTTTTATGTATTATGATAATAGTCTCATGTGTAGATGACACATGAGAAATCAATAATGGTATGGTCCGAGAGAAATAAAACATCATCAAATTAGACAGAAATATAAAGACTTATAATCAGACTTCTTTGATACTCTGTCAATTGTGTTGATATGCGTGCAATTACTGCCTTGCCTCTAGCTTCTGAGTTATGCGTCGAGCTGATCTCAAGGTTCGAAGCAGACAGGAAAAGCAGTTTGCACACAAATCAAAACAATTTTCAAAGCAACAAAAAGGCTTGAATGCTTTCGGAGTGAATGAAGGTGAATGTATTGTTTGAAGGAGAGAATAGATGCAGAGACTTGGAGCATGTAGGATATGGAACATAGAGGCCGGTTCATCAGATATCAGGAATCGTTATATACTACAAAAAACATATGGAGAGTAGTGCCGACTGGGCAAGTTGGATGTGTTTGAAATTGAATCGACCGAGTCCAATTAAAAAAAACAGGACCCTTTTAAAGAAGAATAGTTCAGATTACATCATTACAGCCCCTGATGTTGCTGGCTGAAACAGGTATCACCCTCGCGATGCTGATGGCTGCTGTGTTTGAGACCACTTGTGTGACTTTCAAGAATCAAGATGGTTCCTTTTTCTGTTTTATTTCGTTTCTATATTCTGGTTTCTCGTTAGTTACAATTCCAAACAGTCCGTTAAACTTGACTCGATTGTCTCATACGTATGCAACAATAGTTCTCTTCATTCGTATTTCGATTAGTCCATTTCACTTTATATTCTAGTTCATTTTGAAAAACGCTAATGCTCGAGAATCCCTGAGCGATGCAAAACAGAGCCTCTGCCTGTGCCAGTCTACCATGTGTTGGACTGCAGCGTTCGGCGCATGATTTGATTTCCTCTGCTCGCATCTGTCTTTGTAATTTCACAGTAGATAAAGCAGTTGTGAAAGGTGTCAAGAAATTCCGAGCAAAACTTAAACCCTCTTAGACCTATGGGCGAAGCCAGGAACGAACTTAGCCGTTTGGCAGGGGCGTAGCTCCGCGGGAGCTCAAAAGGGACTTTTCTACTAGACTACCCTTTATAGGGGCATTCCGGGGTCCTGCGTAAGTCCCTACGCAGGCTCCGGGTTTTACCGCATGCGAGGGACTTTGTTAAGTTCGAACAATCTGTCTCTTTTTTTTCGTCTTTTCTACGCAAATCATGAATCACAAAAGAAATAAAATGTAATAAATAATCGGTTACTTGCTTTGAAAATCTGTTGTATTATTCAATCTCCTAATTCTTGAATTGACAATCTTGATCATACTCTTTTTTCTTTATCAAGAAAATCTCGTTTTGTCGTCAAATTTTGTGGGGTTTCCATTATTTGAAAGACAAAATATTTGTGGGCTTTAATGTTGTTTTTTTATTGTGGTTGTATTACTTGATGATGACATCTGCAATAGTCTAAAACGTTTGTGAAAAGTAAAATATCCTATTTATTGATTGGACTTGGTATCGATTACCTAATCCTTGGAATTAATTCTTCTACGATATTGATCTCATCAAATAAATGGGCTCAGTGCAGGGCACCTGTAGACTTTGCATTCTCCATGAGTCAAGACCGCGACATTTGCAAAAAGGTGAAGGCCACAAAGATCAAGATTGTATGAGAGTCATTTCGGTCTAAGGCTTATGAGGTCAAATATATATGTACATATTGTTGGCCGACCTTTACTTACCATTGATGTTTATGCGTGAGGTTAATTTTTTTTTTGAAATAATTCATCTCCCACAGCTTTGTACTCGGGATCCCTCGTGCCATCGCTGTGTAGGGAAACCACAAGGCACCGGTGCGTGACGAGGCCACAAAGTCAAAGGGCCACATCATGTATGGGAGGAGAATACAGACGCATATTGAAGCGCTTTCTTTTAAAAGTGGGATCCCCCACTTACCCCACCTGTGCCCCTGAACGACAACATACAACCACACCCGGATTGTTGTAGAATTATTGTACATAATGGTTATTCTCTTATCTTCTTTTGGTGGCTTTTTTTTTGTCGTGATGAGCGGATAAACAGCAGTAAAAGTTAGAAATCGGCTTTACCACTGAGTGTACATATAAAATCATCAGAAGAGATATAAATGTATTGGGTTGCTTCAATTCGATCTGCCCCTTTTGATCTCATCGAAATCGTTTCCTATAATTGTGAAAAAAAATAACCCTACCATCCGTCGATAAATAATCCATTTTTTCCTTTTTAAATCTTAACGAACACAACTAAATTATTATCATCATGATTTCTGCACAATTCTTCATCGTTATCTTAGCTTCATTGGCATTTTCTGCCTTCGCAACTCCTATCACACCTTTCAAATCTGATATGACTTATGCTTTTAGTAAAGATATTGATTGGTCTGATGGTAAAATCTATGATTCAAATGGAAATGTAGCTATCACCACTAAGATGTGTGGTGGTGTGATCACTTATATTGTCAATAACACTGCCCAAGCTTTCTTCAAGACAGTAAGTTTGATTTTAAACCTATTGATTTGTTTTGATCGATTCAACAAGTGAAGCTTATTAATCAAACATAAATTTCGTAGCCCCCTAGAAATTGTGATAAGAACGTCGTGGCTCAAGATGAGGATAAAACTACGCTTACCTTACACTACCAATCTATCAAATACACTTTATACGCTTGGACAGTCACACGAGCTGATGGAACCAATTTCGAATGGTTACCATTTAGCCCAAGTACTATAGGTATCAATAGTGTTGAAGGATCGGTCTCACTCTATGGTCAACCTAAGAAAGAAAGTAGCCGAATCTTTAGTAAGTTTATTCGTCATCTTCACTCTAACATCATTCATTAAGGGATAGACAAAAAACAAAGAATAGAAAAGATTGATCGATCGATTTTTGTTCATGTAGTGTGGAAACCGGATGGGTTCCCTCAAGGTGTAATTTCTGGTGACGCATACTCTTTCAATGTTGAAGCACCAGGAGCTGATCGTATTTCACTCGTAAGTCATTTGAATTTCCATCAGCTTTGGGGTTTTTTGATTGAATCTTATAATCTGAATCTGATCGTTTCTGTAACTTTATTCATTTCAGTGGGAAACGCTTGAATTACTTTACTTGCTTGTTGCTCGGAACAGAGATTGTCCATACGCTGTTTAAGGATCTATAATTTGAATGACATTTGATTTCGTATCTTCTACATCCATATTCTTTTGTTTTCTTTCTAAATAGACGCGTTTAGAAAGATTGAAGAATATTTTACCAAGACATATAAATCACGATTTTTGTTTAATTCGAAAAATGTTGCCCTTGTGTGCTACATACATTTGTAGAACACTTGAAAAAAGGTTTTAAAGCAGTCTTTGTTTTTTTGTTTGAAAATCAAAGGGTTCATCATTTAACCAATTGGTCACAGTCTTGTTCTTCACAACACCTTCCAGTTCTATGTGTACAAAGACAATCAAACTCACCAAGCTTGACAAGAATTCCAAGCCAAATCACTCGAATTTGATGTACAAAGCTCAGCCAAGCTTTTTTGAATTCGACTGTGTGTATTCAGTACCCTTTTTTATAATCTTAAACTCACATAAAACCCCTTTTGTCATCAAACGCCAAGTCAACAATCAGCGCTCAAACTGAGAGCTTTCTAGTCAAACCTCTGGAAAACTTTTGACACTCAGATTTAAGCTTGTGGTATATCATTAAGAATGTATGATCATGAAGTTTTAACAAATTGATATGAATTCAAAATTGATCATTTGAAAGGTTTTTATAATCATTTCCTCAGTTTGAATGTATACATAACTTCTTCATGACTTAATGTGAAGTTTTGTTTGAATAAGTTTGTATTTTAATTTTAAAGAGTTTGTTTTTGATTAATTCAAAGGTTTCAATCTAAGAATTAATAGGAGTAAGAGTGTTCAATGAAGAAGAGAGAGTAATTATGCAAGATTAATAGGAGTGAAGTCTAAGATGAGTCAGGTGACTAAAGATGATTACATGTAAATGAGCTCATATGTAGACTGAGTTGAGTTGAGTTGATATGTATTATGTAAACCTTAAAATGACTTCAACAGGAAAACTGAAATCGGATTTAAATTCAAAACTACCATTTACCATTTACCATTTACCAACCACTTCAACTATTCTCAACAAACTACTCTCTACCAACTATTCTCAACCAACTTATCAACCAATCGATTCTCAACAAACTACTCTCTACCAACTATTCTCAACCAACTTATCAACCAATCGATCAATCAATCAATCAATCAAAATGATGGAAGAATTAGATGCAATCACTTCAACTTCACTTCATAATCTAGAAGATAAATTATCTAATTTAGATTTCAGTGAAAAGATGTTAGACCTTTGTTTCATCTTGGACGTACGTACGTTTTTTCTTTTTGATTGGATTTGATTTTGGATCATTTCAATCTATGATATCTTTGCTTGATCGAATCTAAAAAAAGTGTCAAGTTTCAAAACCTTTATAAAGGATTCTTGAACTGACTCTATTTTATTCGTATTACCACCACTTTTTTTATCTTGATGAATCAAATACTCAAAACCTGATGTCATGATTTGTTATTTATTTTATAGACCACAGGAAGTATGGGTAGTTATATAACAGTTTGTTAATTTCAATCTTCAACTTTCCTATCAAACGAAAACCAACAAACCAACAGATGTTTTTTTTGACTTTTGATGATGATATATGAACCAAACAAAACCAAAAAATCATAGGCAGCAACTCAAAATATCGAATTGATTTGTGATGAAATCATTAATTCGGAAAGATTAGCTTCACCTGAATGTCTTAGGATCGGTTTGATTGCTTATCGGTGAGTAATCTTTTTCCAAGTTTTAAATCTATCAATTTATATCCGATCATCGGCAGTTACATAGTTCTGGTAAAGATCTTTGAGTGATGAAAACTGATGTGTGTGTTTTTGGGTTTGGGTTTGGGTTTTATAGTGATCATCCTCCACAGGATATGTTAGTTTGATTAATCCTATTATCCAAGCATTTCTTTTTTCGTACCAGCTTAACTGATCTTAGATTTATGGCAACTTTTTCTGTTTTCTGCTTTTGGTTTGGTTTGAAATAGGTCATATATTACTTTAAAGTTTGATTTCACATCTAATCCTAAAATCGTTCAAGAACATCTCAAATCTCTCTGGGCATCTGGTGGTAAGGAATTTCATGTGTAAACCGATGATCTTCAAACCCGATCACTTTTGATCCAACACACCATATCTTTCGTCTTACTTTACGTTTAGGTGGTGATGGACCTGAAGCTGTTACTGCTGCAATGCATGAAGCTTTAACTTTAGATTGGAGGCCACAGGCTAGTAGGATGGCTGTTCTCATCACTGATGCTCCTCCTCATGTAGGTTGAAGTCTTTGATCAATCTTCTTCTTCTTTCACTTCAACTCTTTATCTGATCTGTTCTTCATGTTCGTTTAGGGAATTGGTGAGTATGGTGATGGGTTTAGTAAGGGAGATCCATCAGGTCATGACCCATTAAAACTTGCTCGTACCATGGCTCAGAATGGAATCAGTCTAGTTTGTTCTTTAATTCATTTGATCTGCTTTGATCCAACTTTGATCGTTTTGTTCGGAAAACTAACTGATATCATCAATTTAAACTTCTTTTAGTTTGTTGTAGCTTGCGAACCGGCTTTTTCTGGTTACATGTATTCTAATGATTTTTTCAGAGCAATCACTAACATCACCTCAGCCATGATGTTACCATTAACGACGGCTAATTTATTACCACATGTGATTGTAGGATCAGCCTTTGAACAAATGGATATGGAAAGATTAGTAAGAGAAGTGGGACATGCAGTGGCTGAACGGGTGGTTGGAGGACAAGAGAGTGTAGATGAAGTGGCTAGAGAGTTACATGAGAAATTGTTGTTGAGGAATGAGAGTACTAAACAATTATTTGTGGAAGATATTTATGTAGGTTTTTTTCAACGTTCTTTTCTCTGTTTTGGGGGTTCTGTTTTCATTTTCTTTTTTACGAGAAGAAGGTCTTGAACTGATCAGACTTTTGGGTGGGTTGAACTTTGGTTTGGTTTTTTGAATGGTCTTAGCGTGATACACCTGAAGCAAGACATAATGTCGAAGTATGGTTGAGTGCACCTGATATTCAGACGGCTAAACCATTACTAAAGAAAGTAAGTCAAAAAGAAGACTTTTCAATCGATTATAATTTAAAGAAAATCAATTGATCAGTTCCAATGCTCAATCAATTAATATTGGTTTTTGTGTTTTAGATTATCGGATCCAGATTTACAGAAAAATATCTACAATCACGTTACACAGCTGCCTTTTCATCTACAAGTTCATCATCTACAAGAGTTTATCCAATCCCATTACCATCAAGAAAGAAAGCGACGAATCCGATGAAGAATCATTCGATGCGTAGACCATCAACGACGAGTACTTCATCAGCTTCTAGACAAGTGATTAGTGATTTCAAAGTCTTTTCGTCTTCTACACCTAGATCGTTTTCAGATGGAAGTTCACCACCTAGGTTTGGCAATCCTAGTGGTAGTGGGAGTGGTAGTCAGGGGAAATCTATCGAAAGCTTTGGTGGGTCTCCATTGAGAGATTCTAGGAGTTGGAATCAGACTCAAGGGTCGGATGAAGATGATGAAGCAGAAGAAGAAGAAGAAGAGAATGATGAAGATCATCGGAATGTGAATGTTGAACCGTCTACTTCGAATTCGAATTCAGATCAATCTCAACCGCAACAAGGCATCGATGTGAGACAAGGATCGATTTCGTTTGATCAAGCTCGTAGGATTACCACTTCGGCTGCTTGGAGAACGATTAGAACATGATTTTGGCTTTTTTTTGATGATTTTTTTGGATTTGGAAAAAAAAATCATTGGGTGTTTTTATTTTTTTATTTTCCTTCTTCTTCTCGTTTCTTTCATTTGATTTTTGTTTGAGTCTTGGTTTTGGAATTTATTTATTTTTGTTTGAGAAAGTTTAGGTATTCTGAGGGTTTCTTTGAACAATTTAAATAATTATATATATGTGTTTGTCTCTGTGTCTGTGTGTGATTGTGTCTGTGTGTGATTGTGTCTGTGTGTGATTGTGTCTGTGTGTGATTGTGTCTGTGTGTGATTGTGATTGTGATATTGATTGTGATTGTGATTGTGTGTGATTGAGTCTTAAAGTGAAAGAATTGGTTTAGAAGACAAAATAAGGTTGATCAACATATTTGAGTGAATTATATGATGTAAAAAAACAAATTGATTGGAATCTTGATTTGATCTATTTATTGAAAACAATAAAATTAAAATTAAAGGTATATTATTTTTGATCAATGAAAAATAGGTGTCTTAACTGACTTCTTTTTTGGGGGTTTTGGCTTGAAATGAATGGTAAATCTTGATGGATTGTTCAATGTATGAAATCAAAATCATAAGATCATTTAAGAAGTCCATTTTATCAAACTTGATGGTTTTTCTCTTCTTGAAGGGAGAAAAAACTTTTTGCATTCTTTAATTAAGGCTGGATTCACTTTAAGCAATTGATTTGAAAAGTCACATTCTTCTTGAGCGCTAGAAAAGTGTTTTTTTTCTAAACCAAGATGTGAACTTTGAGATTTTGTGTTTGTATTGGATTATTAACTTTAAGCATACCTGAAGACCTTTGATCCTTTCTTCCTTTCCCAGTTCCAGTTTTCCTTTGTAAGTTCTTCATGATGTCAAACTTCTCTAATTCTAACACTCATGTCTCATTGAATTCATTTTGACCTGCACCACCACCAAAGATACCTCAGATTTTCCAATCTGAGCCTTGAGGTATCCTCAAATGACAATATTCTCAGACGCAATGTCTGAGCAAATGATCTGCGGCCATCTTTGGGGCCCAAGAAAGTCTTGGATGAATTCCACATACACACCGTCTGAGGGAATCTATATCCAAGGATCCCTTTGATTTTCCAATCCAAGGTATCCTTGCTGGCAGTGCTGCAACCATTCTTCTCAAACCCATCATTCAAGCTGGGAAAGAGTACAGTCAGTGACAAAAAGTTTACGTACCACAAGTACATATGTAATCCCAGTCTATGGGCACTTTGTCTCTTGAATAACTTCCTCATACCTCATCCAGAACCTGTCTGAAAATGAAGACTTGTAGCCTGTCGCCCACTCAAAAGGCCTCTATTGTTTTAATGCACCAAGCTGGGGTTCCTGGCACTCAAATTGCCAAGAAACTGGGCCATCCCAAGTTGACTGTCTATACAGCAATTCACAATGACCGCAAAAGACATCAATCAAGACTCAAAAACACTTGGACAACCAAAAAAGTTCTCAAAACGTTGTATACCGAGTGGAAGGCAAACCCTCAGAGCAAGCTTCAGGCTTTGGTTGCATCCATACCTGATCAAATCAAGGCTGTGCTCAAAGCAAAGGGTGGACACACTCCCTGGTAAAAGTGACTGTATTTTAGAGTCTATGTTACAGTTATGAATCCTGAAATTCAAACATACGTACTCTGATGAGTGGCCATCTAGACCATGTAATTTCAGGTATATCAATAGTCAGATGTTGAGTATATATGCTTTTTGAGAGTTGCCCAATAGGCAAGCTATGGTACAGGTATGTATACTTGTTGTCACTGACTGTACATATCTTTGATAACACTAAGAAAAAACCTTGTAGAGGATTCAAGCTCTGAGGAAATGAACACTTTAAGGAAATCCTTGAAGGCTGTGATGTTTGTTTTTGAGTGCCATGTTGAATTGATAAGCTTGTGTCACTGCAAACATTTGTAGGATATAAAGTAGAATCCGGGCACGTGCCCGGATTCTACTTTGTATCCCGTAGTCAAACAACTTCCCTTCAATTGGGTGGGGGAAAATTATTGAACATATAATTAGTCATAAAGGATTAATCAGCGCATACCCAAGTCATAGCTCCCACACTACATATGTGCAGCAGGATGGGTAAATTGGGAGCTATCATGTACATACAGAGCTGCTCACACTACGCCAGATTGCAAATTTACCGCTGAGTTTAGAAAATTAATAAGACATAGAAAATTATACACAAGGTGGAAGGGGTCAAAAAAATGTGGAAAAATAAGGGTTGCATTCCCCTGTGTGTGCCCATAATTTTGCATATTTTTACAGATTTTTACAGCAGCAGTGTATATCAGGTCAGAAACTCAGTTTATGTCCCAAACTGGCAGTCATGGAGGCATTAATCTTGTGATACCAATAAAGTTGTCAATTTTGTGACAACATCTGGAATGTCTGTCCATTCTGAAAGCTACATGTTTAATTTACCAGATACACATTAGAATGAGTGGTGTGTGTCCAAAAATGAAGAAGGTACAGCAATCACCGTCCCCAACAGCAAAGCTAGAAAAGCTTATAAATCTGTTCTGCAAGGGTTTTAGCATCCAAATGGAAACTGTAGATCCAGTATGTGGGTTTCATAATGTGCAACTGCCAAATTGATAAAAAGAAAATAGTTGTATTTGTGAGTGTTGAAAAGTTTCTGCCCAAGCCTGGGTAGTTTTGGACAAAATTTGAGTTTCTGGCCAAATACACCCCAAAATCATTTTTCTATGGAACGACTTCAAAACTCAAGGTAAAAATATGAAAAAATATGCAAAATGATGGGAAATCACAGACTGATTCAACCATAATTTTTTTCAATTTTTTCCTACCTCTCATGCATTGCTGAGAATTTCCTACATCTTGACTTTTCTAAACTCCATGGTAAATTATTGATTTGGTGTAGTGTCAGCTATTGGCTCATCTGAATGAGTGAACCATATGTAATACTAATACCTTCTGTAATTTTTTTCAGTTTGACAAAAGCATTTCAAGAATTGACTACATACACTGACTCATAGCTTCTGTGTAATTTCATCAAGTAAACCTCATGTAACACCCTTTCTGTTACTATTGAATGGTGTCCAGAGTATTGCCTGAGTAGCTATGGAGGTATATGTAGTCAATTTTTAGGAGGATTTTGTCAAACTGGAAAAAGTTACATGATGAATTACATGTGATTTATTTGTTCAGATGAGCAGGGAACTGAGCAGACCTGTATGTACATGATATCTAACAACTTACTCAGCTTGTTGCACATATGTAATGTGGGGTTTATGACTCAGGTGTGCAGTGATCAATACTTTATGACCAATTATACTTCTAATAATGTTCCTCTGCTCAATTGAAGGGAAGTTTTTTGATGTTTACAGTGTGTTCTATTGTAAAAGAAGTGTTTGATCTGGAAATACCATCAGCAGTTAATTTAACAATGTCTGCAAGGCAATGTGTCATTTGAATCAATCTATATTGTCCAACCTACCCAGAACAAGATATGTCCACAGGAGATTCAAAATAACCCCTGCTTTACCTGTTTTTTCAACAAATGTCTGGAGGCCATTGATGGCACCCACTTACCTTGCATCTTCCTGCTTATTGATGTTCTGCTCATTGAAACCAAAAAGAACATCACTCCCAATATATGTCCTAGCAGGGTTTTCATTCAACATGATGTTCACCTTAATTCATGCTGGTTTGAAAGGCTTGCATGTGAATGTGTATGCCCTTTAATGAGATCTTGAAGAACAATGCTTTGGTGTTCCAAATGGTAAGTTAATGTGTCTTTTAAATGCAACAGCAATGGATAATAACCTGTTTTATTTATCTCAGATTCATTCCACATTGCTGATGCATGGTATGCCACCATAAGGTTTGTTAACCCCTTTTTGATCAGTAAAATACCGCTTTAGAGAGTGGCAGCATTTGGTTTTAACACCACAAACAGAAAAGGAGTTGTATAATCATCAACACTTGGCCCTTAAAATTTTGATCAAACAGATTGTTGGGGTTTCAAAGTGAGATTTCTGATTCTTGCATTGATACCCTTCTACCCTCATAAAGTACAAGTTATGATTGTGATTGCATGCATTTATGGGATACAAAGTTAAAGCTGTGTTTTTTTTCCCAGTTTCCCAAATACAGCCAAAAACGCAAACTGGGAAACTGGGAGAACGTGGGAATTTCCCAACACAGCCAAAAACAAAAACTGGGAAACTGGGAAAAAAAATCCCAGATTTAACTTTGTATCCCATAATTGTTTTGAACAATATCATTCAAATAGGATCTGGAAAGGATGGAATTTATGAAAAATACATGTTACAAGAGTGCTTGGAGATGAGGATGGTGGGTAATGGCAGACCAGACTGGGTTGTGCCTAACACTAACAAGCAGAACCAAGCTTCCAAACAAAGAAAGCACCTTGCCAAGTGGAGGTTTTGAGACTATGTTGATGCACCTGTGGTACATAGGAAGGTCTAGATCATCATTTGTAATCAGGACCATTGTAATCCTAACTTTCTTGGCACCATCAAGATCAAATCTTTCAATGTATAAATAAGGCTTGTTTTATGATACACACCCACTAAGACACAAAACTTTGGATAAAATATATTTGAATACAATATATTGAAACTCAACCTGTTCATTTGTTCTCATGTTCAGTTGGCTTCATCTACCTCCTTATCCTCCTTTGATCTGCCGGCTTCAGCCTTAGCCTTGAACCAGTCCCATATTATGGAATGATCCATGTAATGCATAGAAGAATGAGGCTGTATTGTCTTTTATCAATTCATTCACTACCTTGATGAGATGTTTAGGTTGAAGATTCTGGCCACTTTCTTGATTAAAGATCTCCATTGCTTGCTTCTGGCCATTTTGAATGTTGCTCAGACTTGATTTTGGAAATGATGACATTATCATATTTTTCTCCCCCAATTCACCTACTTGATCCACAGCTCAATCAATTGATTCAAATACCAGATTTGAGCCTGTGCTTTGTGAACATTTTGAGGTGGCAGATGAACCTCCATGAATGATTGGGCTCTGTTTGCTAGGTACAAAAAATTGCTCTAGGCTTGCCATTGTCATTTTCAGCCAATGCAATTTGTGTTGAAGATTTGCCAGTCTGTTTCCTAGTTCTTGCTGAATAGATGAAATGAATGAAAGGTACAGTCAATATGATAGAGAACTTACAGAAGTCTTTTTCTTTTGAGAAGACAATGGCCTCAGACAATCAATATTCTCAATATCTGAGTCCTTGTGTGAGTCCTAGATACATGAGATTGATCTTGGTTTAAATACTTGTCAGGTGGATTGTAATAAGATAGGATTTTTTAGTATGATGAGTTTTGAATCAGACTGATTCACATTCAGATGAAAACAAAAACCTACCTCTGTCATTCCCATGCTCATCTAAATCTTTGGGCAATGATATAACATTTTATTTCTTCTTGCTTTGAGTTACAGACCCCTTGTTACCATTGGCTTGTAATTGCTTCCTGGGCATTATCTGTAGGACATCTTGGTATGTTGGAAAACCATTGCTTTGAATTGGCTTGACATCTTTATCACTGTCATAATTATTCAAAGGTTAGAATGCACATATCTTATTCAAAGGGTTAGAACAGATAGGTTCAATAGATAGAGAATGGATGAAAGGTACTTGAGTACCACATCAATGCATTGAGCCCATCAGGCCTTCTCAGCATGCACTCCAACAGTGGTTGTATGAACTCCAGGTGCACCAGAAGATGCCATTATCTTTTTGAAAGCCTTGAAAGTTCACTCCAACTACATATCAAAACACAAAGAGACTCAATAGATTTAGAGATGCACCAAACCTTTTGAATGATGTTCTTTGATCTTTTCAGATGCTCCTTGATTTTGTACTTTGCATGGTAGTTAGCAAGAACAAGATTTTTGACATCCCATTGAATTGTATACTGTGGTATTGAGACAGAGAAGCAAAGTTGAAGAGTTGCTGATAGGATGATGAATGGTTCTGACAAACATGCAATCAGATCAAAAGCCGGTTTAGAGCTTTGATGTACATCACTTTCATAAACATCAGAACAAAAGCCTTTGATCAAGACCTCAAGCTGCAATCATGCACAGACCAGGAACTGGGTTTTTCTCTTTGATTAAACAAGCTTTGATGAAAATTCAGTACTTACTAAACTTAATCTTACTCTCATCAAACTACTTCAACCAACTCATCAAAATCCTACATAAAACATTCCTCATACATTCCTCACACATTCCAACTTAAATGTTTCTGCAACAACTCCTCAACATTCATTTTTGACCAAACCAATGTCCATAACACATCTTCCAATCCACAACTTATGCACAAAACTTCTTGACAAGACATACATGCAAAAGACAAGGGAACAAGAAGGAACAAAAACAATGGCTTGCCCTTTTGGTGGATTGAACACCAGACCTTTCCATTTCAATTATGACACAACATACGAGTGGAACGCTCTACCACTGAGCTAAAGGGGCTCTTGCGCATTGCAGCCAAAACCGAGAATTCGAAGCCTCTTTCTGCAGAAATCATGTGTATATACTATAAACCACTTTTTAAAGATCATCAAAGTTGAATCAAACTCAACAATACACAAATCCAACCAAAAGAATATCAACTTCAAACAAAAAAGAAAAAAAAAAGAAAAAAAACCTCCATTCCATTCTAAAACTTCCAATTTGTTTCATTTACATTTTCTCATAACCCTACTCCATTCACAACAGTTTTAGTATGACTACTACTACTACTAGCACCACCCAACCAATTCAACCAACTTCCACTTCCTCCAATTCCATTATTATTACTTGTACCTAAGAACGAATTAGGTTTATTCCATGACTTATAAGCCACATAAGCTAAAGCAGAACTAGCTCCAATCAATGCACTTAATGATAAATAAACGGTTAATTTATCGGAAGTTTTTTCTGATCCACCTGGAATTGAAGAATTACTAAAAAACCAAAAACCGCAACCAACATCAGACTTCAATAGCTGAAGGGGTTTAGAAAGAGAGAAAGAAAGGATCTTACGGATTGGTTGCTATTCCACATAAGATTGGCCATAGATCTGCTGTTTGATTAGTTCTCATACTTACAGCTACCGGTACTCTTAAACTTAATTTACGACAATATACATCAGGTTGAACTTCATGTCTCTGAAAAAAAAAACAAATATCAATCAAATTAATCATATGATTTCAATCAAGTGTGAGATTTTAAAGTCAAGAATCAAGATTTTGAAGAAAAAAAATTACGTCACATACTTGTTGAGCTAGATCTAGATCTGCTTTACTTGCAACAAAAAGGGTTGGAATATGATCTACTTTAAATTGTTGCTAATTGAATCCAATCGATTCAGACAGAGAAACAAATCAGTATCGAATCTTGATAGATACCTAACATTCTCATGTAAAAAAATGCTACACAGGGCGAAAGAAATGGGGACTTACTCTTAGATTGCTAATGTAAGAAAACGAATTGGTATCTGAACTATCATACACAAATACTAACACATCTGCCATTCCCAATCTCTTTGAATTCCTCAAAACTTCACCACCTTCCCAAGCTGCAAACTCTTGAACCTAATAAAAGACCAAAAGGAACACAGTTCATAATCAATTCCATCCTAGTCCAATTCAATTCAATATACCAAAAAAGATCAACACTTACAACTAAATATTTCTCAGCACCTTTATACTCAACACTATTGACGACCGTTAAACTACCTCCGTTATGATTCCCATCAAAATACCTTTTTTTCACTAAATTTCTACATATCGAACTTTTACCTGATCCTACTGCACCAAACACATAAATTAGATATGTCGTTCGATTCACTTTGTTTTTCTTTTTCCTTTCTGATTTTCTTGGTTTAGTGATTGTTAATGCATTTGTGGTGGGTGATGGATAACCTAGATGTGCAAGATATGCTAATGTCACTCGATGATCAAGTAAAGTGGTCATACTACAGAAAGTCAAATTCATTGAACATCAGTGTCTTTGAAGGTAAGCGGAATATGATGACATGAAAAAGATTTACCTCCATTGAGCTAGCCAGCCTTGTAGTGTAACACAATTACTATCATTAGTAATCGTAGTATCAGGAAATCCTTGATTGATCCATGGATTTCCAGGCGAAGTACTGAAAAGAGACTCTAATTCTTCCGTGTTCAATGCACCATCTAAATCCTAAATCAGAATGTAAAATTGACTTTATCATTCTCGATGATCAGGAAGAGGCAATCCCTGAAACACACCTGATCAAAGGTTTCAAACAGATCTGTAAAAAACGCATAACCAGAAGGACTAAGTTCGGCTGAACAGTCATTTGGAACATCGAATCTATCCCAAAGAAAAAACAAAGTTCTCAGTAAGTATAGCCAAGGAAGAGTTACAGGTCAAGATTTCAGCGAACCTAGGAGCTAAAAATGTTTCACTTAGTGTGAGATCATCACCATATCCAAATGCTCTCAATACACCCCAAACGGTTTCTAATCTTCCACGTTGAATGAAACAGGTATGTAAATAAAGAAATCCTTCTTGAGTGATATGACCATCAAAGGTTAAAAATTGAGGATTTTCTTGTAACACATCAGTTTTGATCGTCCTGAGCTCCTTAGATTGTAAAGGGACACCAAAACATTTGCGCTAGAATTCGAAATGTGAGAAAAGAATGAGTAAGTGGAATGCTCGAATGTGTTGGTTGTGTGTAAAGTAAGGAAAAGATATGGACCTACTTGAAACTCGTGTAATTCTTCGTCATCTAATACGTTATCTTTATTAACATCGCACAATTTGAAAACTCGTGTGAGAGCATTCACACAGGCAGGTTTCATTGACTAAGGAATTGTCAAGATCAGAAATCCAGGATAGACAGACATCCACAAGTTGATGATTTGACCTACATGTTCTCTTGAATCATAAAGGGGTGCTGTTGGATGTAGAACAGCATTTTGAGCCAGGTAAAAGGTTTCACTAATGTTCTAAGACGTGGTTAGAAAATCACAGTCAGTTAGCTTGAACGAGGTCCGGAAAAGATATAAAACATACAAGTGAAGCTTTTGCACTACATTCGATACAGGTTTCCACTTCTTTAAATTCTCTCATCAAAGGCGCCAATTCTAGATAAATTCGTTCGATGATCAAGAAGCCAAATTTTCATTCAATAAGTAAGATAGTGAATCCAAGTACATCCAAATCAAACCATTTAAGATCGCACCTGATTGAAAAGCTTCATTGGTAACATCTTCACCATCTCTTAAATCAATCTTGTTTCCCACCAAAATCACTGGTCTAAAAAAAGTAAATCACCAAATATGAGAAATCGAAATCATGAATCTGAGTGACTAGGATAAGTTAGGTTTTTGGGAATGGGTTCAATTAAAAATTGTGATGTACCTACACATTCACACCTAGTGACCTAATGGTAGGTAACCAATAAGTAGTAATTCGATCGAATGAATTAGGACTTTCAACTGAATAAATGATGACGACTACATGAGCTTTTCTGATTTCTGTTTCAAGATGATGTCGATCTTCAGGACGTGCTAATCAAAAAAAGTTCAATGAAAATCAACATCAAAATCAGATCAGGATGTGATTCGAGGGTTTTTTAAAAAAAAGTCAAGAGATTTTAAAATTTACGAGATGTATCGATTAGATGAGTGGTGATGTTGGGAGTGACTTCAGGTGGGATTGAAACCTCTGGTAAGACTAATCCTGATGGTAATTCGTAGAACCTTTCTTTGATCAAGGCAGTGATGATAGTACTATTTTGATAAATGCAAGATCAGTTTGAGCTCCTGATGTATGTTTCTGAGAAATGAATGAATCAATCTACCTTTTACCAACACCGTCATCTCCACACAGTACCACTCTGATATCACGTCTGGCCATTTTGAGTTGAGATTAGATTGAGCAAATCGTAGTGCTTGATATATAGTGGTAAGTGTTGGTGTAGGGTGATGTTGGAGAAACTTACAAAACCATGAGATCCCGAATTCAACTCGGGTCGGATCTCAACTTCTCATCTTATCATTCCGGACTTAAATTTACTCTGAGTCTGCACTTAACCACAAACTTAACCAGCAGTAGGAAAGTTTGCAATGGGGCCAATTGATATTCCACAAGCTGCCCAATGATACTTTAACATGGTTTCACTTTGTTTTCAGAGTTTGATAATAGGAGCATTGATCAACCTATGTATGCGTATTGTAGCACAGATCATTTAGTAGGACTCAAGTAGGTGATCATTGCATTCGTATATAATCAACAACAACTTGTATCCCTTCATGAACCAATGTTATAAATTCCAACCCTCTCTCTAAAACTATATTTCTAGAACGAATATATAGAAACTCAATCAGACTTCATCACATTCACTAAACGTCAAATCAAACCAAAGTCCATAACCATCAATCAATCTCCACCAAAAAAAATATATAACCCTTTCATACTTTTCGCAATCCACCTCAAAAGTCAAAAAAGTTCCTAATCTATCTAACCAATCAAAGTTCGAACTTCTTCTTTACTTCTAACCAATAAAGTAGAAGCAAATTCATACTTATTTAATGGATCCATCACCGAATCCCAAATCCGTCCATAAGCCAAACTAATCAAACCTAAACTATCATGATGAACTTTTGATGAGTTTTTAGTTGAAGAAAGTAAAACTAATCGAGTTGAAACTAAAGTATCTAAATTCATTAAGAATTCATTAAATTCTTGAACTGATTTCGTGATTTCTTTTGATGAACTTGATTCTATTCTTGATAATGGTGTCTATTTTGATGGTTTCAAATTTCAATTAGTTGGTTTGTTTGATGCAAGGACTTAAGAAACTCTCGGGGTATAGACTTACATCTCCTTTGGTCTCCAATGCTTGGATGATAGGTTGTAAACCGGATGATTTCAAGAGCTGATCAAAGTGTTCTTGAGTTAAAAGATCTAAATGATTCTTCAGTCGTTCTTGTAACTCTTCTTTCTTATCGTGGGTGAATGCAAAAGGACCAAGGGTTGCCTAAAATCGTACCATTCGAGAGAGTTAGACATCAGAGATTGTAATCTTAGAGCAGGATGATATCATCTTACGCACAATCATAAACTCCAAACAATTGATCCAAAAAATAGATTGATCCCACTCTGAAACTCTCAGAGCCGCCATCTTGGTGATCAACTCTAATGCTGGACCGATCGTCAATTCCAAGACTCGATCAAATGACTTAGCATCAGCTTCTTCAGGTGAACCATCATTATAAATTGACATTATATCTCTCAAATTAGACATTGCCTCATTCAAGGCAGATGGTACAGATAAATCGACGGGTGGCTGTTCAATAAATCGCATATGTCGAGCTGATAGTGAAGCCAAGATTTGAAAGAAGATTTCATATGCATCTTCTGTGATTCTACGAAATCAAGAGGCAAATGGTTAGAAAGGTTCAATTAGTTTAAACAAATATTGAATCAATCTCAACTCGGTTAATGTCTTGGTCAGAAGGGCATCAGGTCCAATGGTATTGGTCATGGTAGCTTTATAGAAATCTAATAAGCTTGCTAGTTGATAGGCTACAATACTACCCTCTTGACTTTTGATGGTCTGATACACTCTGATCTTCAAAGGCCTTCCACACCCTTCCATATGCTTATCCAGTAAATTTCTAACCCTCTTACGATCCTCACTTTGTTTATCAATCGGAATGGTCTCAGTAGCTGATGTAATAGTCTGGACGTCTAGATTTGATGTCGAATCCGATAACTTTGGTGAAAAGATCCTTGATTCACCTACTCGCCTTCCATCTGATTTCAAATCGAACAAGCTTTCTAAGAATTCATGTTCGCTTGCCATAGTCTGATGTACCCATGCTAACATGTCACCAACATATCTGATTGGATCATGTGCATTGAGCTCAATCGGTCTGGGTAAACCATTAGGACCTCCTCGAGTCAAGGCATCGAGGAACAAGCTCGACAGAGCAGCTGATCGAGTGGCCGACAGAACCGAGAGTGCTTCACTGCAATACATTTCAAGCATCAGCACTTCACTCCAAGACGCAGCTATCTTGGTGATAAGAAAAACGCATACTCTAGTAGCTCAGGACGACAGTTGAGTCGCTGGATAGCTTTTTTCATCAGAGAGCTAACTTCTAATTGTCCTTCTTCTCCCTTGGATAGACCAGCTCGACATTCAAACAGAGTCCATTTCATCACTTTTTCATATCCCTTATCAAGATATTTACTAATAGCTTGCATGATATCAAGTCCAGCTGTTTCGGTTTCGGCAGGGGTCAAGTCTCCTGTCAGAAGTGCAGCACAGTCTGATCGGATTCGTTCACAATGGTCCATGGCTGAGAATAAGTGTCGATTCACCTTCACATCACGTGTGGTTAAAGCTTGGATTTCAGGTTCAGTCAATGTGAACCGATGCAAGAAGACTGTAGCAAGTAATTTTTTATTTGCTGTTGATTGACTTCAAATTTTCAAAGTCAAAAAACTTGAAGTGCATTTCAAACAGAGAAAAACTAAACCGACTCACCTCGCTTTCCTTAAGCCATCAGCATGCTCCAAAAGATACTTGGTACCTTGATTAGCAGCTATTAGCTTTTCTTGAGTTTCATCACAACATTCATGCATATGGTCTATGTGGGCTTGTAAATCGTTTAACTCCTGTGAAATCGTTTCTTTCAAAGCATATGCCATCAACTCGGTCAAGAACTTTGAAAAAGGACTTGTGATAAACCAAAAAAAAGGAACTTATGCTCACATTGTTAAGTCCAGCGAAAATATCAAGAAATTCTCTAGACCTTAAACGAAGACGATCTTCCACTACTCTTCTTAAGCCACCTTTCTTTAAATTGTGTAAATCGGTAGGTAAGCTCGATCCATCACTTGTAGTTTCTTGATCTCTTCCAAAGCTATTTAAAATCTTTAGGGCTGAACGGGTAGTTGGATCTTCGAAATTACTGGTAGCTAATATTTTTGAAACTCGAAGTGAGAGAGCTGTTGAAGCTGAAGTTGAAGAAGGCTTGGATTGTGAAGAAGATGATGGATCCATTAAGTTGATGTGGTGGTCTGATGACGATATTCCTTGATAATTTCACCAGCTTCAACGGTAGGCCGGAGAATCAGGGGATTGGTCTGATACACCCCTGATAATCGTGATAATCTTGCATAAACCCATGATGCATGGGTTTACTCCGGGGATTAGGCATGTAAAATCTTGTTCACCTATCATCCTAGCAGTTTGACAAAACCAATGACAAACCCCTTAAGCCCGCCTTAAACACATGGCCTGATTGTGGAACTAGGGTATACTCACAGGTGACATGTGGGAGGTGACACGCCCTACATCCGAAATCCATCACTGCTTCATGCATCCTTGACCTTCCACACTAACACTGTTGCTTACCCTCCCACACTTCGGTCAATTTTAAAGATGCTTTTACGTGATTTTGTTGCACAGCTCAACAGTCAATCACCTCAGCTCTCTGCGACACTCAACGTCGCCGACTTTGTGCGGTTCGCCACCCTGGCCGCTGAAGCCCTACACATCGCCGGCGAATCTCTACGTCTGACATCAACTCGGTTCACCCTCATACCGTTCCTTGCAACAGCGCTATCGCCTGGATACCCCCATGACTTATATTCTGAACTATGGCGAATCATGTTTGCGATCTTACCCTCGTGTCGAATCAACCCATCTGCTACTGTCCGCAAGTTTGGCATGCAGGAGGATCTTACAACCAAGCTTCCCGAACGCTTTTTACGCGCACCCTTTTCCCAGTGTCTTGTTTGCTGCTCAAATGGCCACTCACACAACTTACATGTTCACTCGCGCCTCAACGGTTACCTGTACGACGTTGATGGCGTCCACACAATTGAGACCGTCATTCTATGCTGTTCCAGTGAGTTTCCAAATTCTATCCAAATCCCAACGTCACTTACTGAAGTTACTGTGGTTTGGACGGCAGACCAACTCTGTGGCACCTTCTACAGACCTAGTTTTTATACTCGAGATGGTTTGCGACATTATTATACAAACGAAATGGGACGCGACCAGGATTATCTTCACGTACACTGCCATTACTATATGACTTGCCGCTTGGCCTACATGTTCCGGATCATTCAAATGTTAGCACAGTGAGTGATTCATGATTCTGTGATCCTTTCTCCGTATAACCAGTCTAACACTGACATTATATTCGCTCCTCATTTAGTGTATCACATTTCAATCTGGTTAACTGGTTTAACCAGATCTTTGTAGATGACTCCGATGTTGCCACATTCACCCCCCGGCAGGGCTTCACTCCGTCTCTCTCAGAAGAAGTGTGTCGCGATGGGCTTATACTTCACTCATTGATCAATCACGCAGATCGAAGAGGGTCTTTTCTCGCAGTAACCTCCAGTGGCACCGATTCAATCCGTTTCGACTCGGCAATCGAATTGCACCTCAATCAATTGGATATTGAAGGATCTCGATACCGGGACCATTATTGCTCCAGCTGTGTCCGCTTGACACCTGGTGGTGTGGATCCAGATACCGGTGAAGTGATCTACAAATGTATGTCACCCAATTGAACGCTTCCCGCTTGCAACTGCTGACACCGGGATTTAATACATCGGCACAGCTATCCGTGCAGTTGTCACCGACGGTCTGACAATTGGGCACTGGCGCTGCAGCGCCTCATCTCAGCAACTGCAGGAAATCTCTCGATCTCTTGGACAGCCCCCACCTGAAGGCCCTTGCACAAAGAAGCTGGCAAACATCAACGATCGGTATTGCACCGACCACTTTCCAATCCTGGGTGGGCGCTGTCAAGCACAACCCTGCCCTAAGCCAGCGTGTAAAGATAGCCAGACTTGCGACAACATAGCCCACATTGAGGCATGGGCCAAATTTAATCAGCGTGTCCAAGGGAATTTCTCTCTAACCTCTATTCTTAATTGTCCGGGCTCTAATCTCAATATTGATCCTACGGTGCATATGAATTCTGAGACCGGACAGATTGAAGATCTTGAAAGCTTGCAGCATGCTGATGAGTCGCAGAGAGCACACGAGGGTGCGCGGGACGGCGGCGAGTCGCAGGCGGCTGGCAAATACTTGCTATCTCGATCTCGTACACACAATGATCAGTTGATTGTAGCATGTTGTGGAATTATATTGGCACGGAAAACCTTTTATAATGCGGAGTCCGTCAGTGCAGTCAAGGTGAGTTGGTATGGTTAAAATGCTTCCTGATTCTGTGTCTGATCTGTGTCACATCTGGATGTCAATCAAACAGGACTTTCTGGAAGAGTCCTTCCCACGAGGTATTCCAGAGGTGGTTTTTTATGACAATGCATGCCGGTTGACCGAACATATATACACTGGTAATACGGATCGTACTCGCTTCCTTGGAACTGTCATACCCGTGGATCCATTCCACCATCGCTCCCATGCAGAAAGCGATGAATTCTGCCGATTATTCACTGACCCAAGTCTCTTTCCTGATATCCAAGAAGACGGAAGTTGGATCTTTAACGCTTCAGCAGGAGAACTTAGTAATATTTGGTATGGGGGATTTGCGTCAATGTGTAGAAATATGCACCCACTTGTATACAACTTGTTTTTGGAAGAGATGTTATATTTCAGGAATGCTTGGCTGACAAAGAAACTGGACAAACGCCCAGGAATGGAGTTCCTTGGAGAAGGGGCCCTGTAGGTTGGAATACATGAGAATACATTTTTAAAAATCAAACGCTTAAACATCACAAATATTGAAGGTTTTACTTTGTTTTTTTTATGCTTTAATTTTTTCTCCAATTCAACCTTTTGAAAACATGTTACGCTAAGGTAACAGCCAAGAAAATTTGGTTTCTAGAAATTGATATCTGTTGTGTTGAGTGGGGGAACCACTCATTCTCCAATCATTAATGATTAGTATTCAAACCTCTTGATAAATTCTTTTTATCGGTCTCTTATGGTGGGTGAGGGGTTGATTGAAACCCTCCCCTTGAGTTGGAAATACGATTTTTGAGAAGTCTTGTTGAAGTTTAATGTAACAATAACACAATCGTGTCAAGCTCAATTGTTAATTGAGAACAATTGCAGTTATTCAAGTGAATGTGGGGGGTCAAATGAGTGTAAATTGAAGAATGAGTGGAAAGAGTAATTCAACAACATGCGGTGATCTGAAGAAATTGACTCATTAGTCACGGGCAAGAATTGCTTTGGGTAACTGCATCCCATCAGGGAAGCTCGCGGATGCGGCCTAAGAAAGAGTAGTTGCGCACCTGTTAAGGAAGTCACAAAGTCAGTTATGTTTGCCTACATCACGAGGTTTTTGGTTAGAAAAAAAGTGTACTCTAACTATGAAATTTTTGGAGATGGGATCTCTCCCTTGTACTGTGCCATTGAACCAGCATGTTGTACCTGCGTAGATGTTCCCCCAATCAGCTGGACGTGGACTGAGATGAAGAAAGCGATATGTGACGTCAAATGCAACTAGGTGGTTGTTCTGGGTGCCGGGAGTCAATATCTTGTCACTTTCAAGAAATAACAAAGACCATGGACTTACAACAGGGTCATAGCAATGGTGCTGTGCAGTGACAGTCAAATTCCAAACCCTTGGAATGGCCACGTTGTCAAAGGTAACATTGAGCACCTTACCAAGGCCACTAAGCATGGATCTCCCAGCAAGAGCTTCCAGATCAGGACAGTGGGTTCCAACCTCAATGCGTGTGTCAAGAGTATGTTTGATGAAGGCTTCTTCAGTTTTGGAGTCAATCCCAAGAGGCCCAATGAGTTGATAGGTTCTACATTGCTTGAGCCTGTGCCGTGGGAGAACATATCCAAGAGCTGTCAGTGGTTCAATGTGGTGACCACCTTCATCATCTTTCAAGGTGAGACTGGTTGGGGTTGAGAACCAACCAACTCCTTCCTCCCCTAATCTCACACGTGTTGCCTGTACGGAGTATCAAGGGTTAGCATTGAGCCATGAGAAAAAAGGCAAGATGTGACCTTACTTCGGCTGTGGTGGGTACAATGGTGGTCAAGAGGGCGGTATAATCATCCATCTTTGAGTGGTGGCTGAGGTGAGTGGTTTGTAGGGAAAAACAATGAAAACTATGGACAATCTTGACTATGAAAAAAAGCGGAATATATGACTTTGATTTACACAAAAGTCAATAAACACTATAGAAACGTCTTTGTAAATTGAATTCTGATGGTGGCTGGATGGGGAGTTTATGAAAGGTGAAAGTTGGGTAACAAAGATGAATGAAAAAGTGGGAAAGATGACTGAGAAAGTGGGTAAGATGAATGAAAAAAGGGGAAAACGGATGGTGGAATAACTTTTTCATCTTATGCGTGGCCCCTATATACCACCTAGCAGTTTTGAGAAAATGAGCAATGATCCGTTAATTTAATTTGACAAAAACTTATAACCCTGACTAGGCTACTTCATCTGACTTAGCTGGGATTGACCAATGTGACCTGTGCCACGATGAGGAAACAAGGAGATAGCTTGGCATTCCGTTACCGGTAAAAGGGGTGGAATAAACGTGATTTGCCTTGTGGTGTTATTCAATCAAGTGATGTCAAGTCCAGATGCTGCTACCTGACTTGGTAAAGGTTCTATGTTAATATTGTTACTCACAGCTCTACTACTTGCTTTGTCATCTTTTGTTTTTCATTGATTCCCTTTTCAAAATCCCTAATCCCTAACAGAACAGTGAAAATCGAGAAGATCAGTGAGATTTACAAATGTTGAATGGTTTAAATTCATTGAGATTTGATGGAGTTCCAAAGCTGAGTCAAAACAAAATAGTAAAGAGAATTATAAGAAAACAAAATAAAGAGCTACCCAGGTAAAACAAAAGAATATGAAAAGTTTTGCCTGTTCACTGTTTGTGTTAGAGCTTGTACAACACAAGATCAAGGGAAATGGATGTTATAAAATCCAACGAATACTAATTAAGACATTCCTCAATGTCCCTCTGTAAATACATCCAAACAGATAGCAAAGAAGAAGAATGATGGAAATCAGCTTGTTTGCTCGTAATCAAAGCACTTGAGGTGTGAGGGGGGTGCAAAAAGACTTACAGCAGAGTCTCTCGATGCTTCACAGACTTGGTTCATGGGATCATTAACATCAATAAATTTCCATACCCATAACTCCAAATGTTCTTCTTCAATCAATAACTTCTTTAACATGTTTTCGGATGTCATAATCGTTTCCTCTGTGATGTCTTTCAATGTATCTAATAACTCACCCTTCTTCTTTCGTGAATCTGGTTTCTTTTCATAATATCCTGGTTTGACTTCTACAAACCAGGATATTAATGCAATCACGCGAAACACCACTGGATTAAAGGCAAGTAATTCTTGAAAGGCAAGGAACTCTTGCACTAGAAAGATATCAAGATGTTTGAAATCAAAAACAAACTCATCCGTCTTCTGTGATGACATGAATTGTTGCAAATCAAATTTGATCCTTCATACTACTGTTGTTGCATTTTCCACAACGAAATCAAAATTTTGCATCACAGGCCAAACCCAAACTCCATCCGAATCAATCGCCTTCACATTAGTCTCTTCATCATAATATCTTAATCTTTGTCCCACATTATAATAACTCTTTCAAAGGATATATTCAGGAAGTGAGATAAGGTGATTAAAAGTTGGAACCGCATTGATGAGTTCTTCGAGAAATGCATGTCGACAATCGAGCCATAGACCACCTGCTACTGTGTAAGAAATTAGACTAGCTCTTTGTGCCATCTTGTATTTTGAATTTGAAACAATTCAAGTCAGTGAATGAATGTGGCTTGGAAAATGACTGGTGAAGGAATCTAAGAGAGACAAGGATGATGATCACAATCAGATTCTCCGGCGTAAATTGGAACAAGCCAAAGTTTGTCGTCTGACAAAAGCTTTTGAGCTGTAGTGAAAAAATCTAAATGCCACTATTGTTCAAAGATCACGTTAAAAAAACCGAAGAGCAATGTATCAAAAAGATAGGTATAGTCCTACTTTGAAAGGACAAAGCCCTGATTCCCCAAGGCAGTTGAAATCAAAGCAGGCAATCGCTCTGACAGCATTTATTCAAATACATAAGTCCTACTTCAAAAGGACAAAGCAGTAATTCTCCAAGGTGACTTGAAATGAAAAGCAGTCAATCGTGCTGACATGATTTATTCAAATGCATATGCTCACCATTGCTCTTTACACCTTGCGATTGAAAGCATGTAATTTGCTCTGCAAGGCCTTCTATTGATAGTGGACGCTTTTAATTCTCAACATGGCTTTTCAACCGGTGCTTATTCATTTCCTCTCTATATAAACACCCATCTGATGATAGTTGTTTCGCCATCGTCATCAGACCAGTTTACTTAAATCAACAACTCACAACCATCGACCATCATCACTACTTCAATTCAATCATCACAGCAAAACAAACCCTACTCGCATATCCTCCTAGAAAATACCATCATTCTCTTTGTTTGAGGGCAGTGTGCCAATAACAATAAATTGAATATAGTCTTTCATCGCTCTCATCTCATTCGATTATTCTCTTTGTTGGAGGGCAGTGTGCCAATAACAATAAATTGAATATTTCATCGCTCTCATCTCATTCGATTATTCTCTTTGTTGGAGGGCAGTGTGCCAATAACAATAAATTGAATATTTCATCGCTCTCATCTCATTTGATTATTCTCTTTGTTGGAGGGCAGTGTGCCAATAACAACAAATTGAATATTTCATCGCTCTCATCTCATTTGATTATTCTCTTTGTTGGAGGGCAGTGTGCCAATAACAATAAACCGAATATTCTAATCAACTATCTTTTGAAAACTCTATTCTCTTTGTTGGAGGGCAGTGTGCCAATAACAATAAACCGAATATTCTAATCAACTATCTTTTGAAAACTCTCTGTGTATCCCAATCATTCAACACCGTCCACTTTCCAAAATGGCAAGAAGCAACTCAAAGCGAAAGTATGATTCCAAGAAGAGGACTCAAAAGAACAAAGCCACCGAGAAACAACACAACAAACTCAAGGTTGCACGCGAAATCTCACGCAGGAATCAAATCGCCTGTGAATACGGACTTCCAGATACTGCAAAGTTCTTCTTCTTAGAGAAAAAACCCTCATCAGTACCAAGGAAGTTATTCCATCATGGGATCGTGGTCTTGGTTGACAAAAAATCGCTAGAGCTCCTTTTGATTGCCCAATTCAACGAGTTCAGCGACATGCATCCCGAGCTTCTCGTCCAATTTGAATCCTCAATATCTACATTTTATCTTCATGGTATCTCCAGGGGATTTGTGAAGAATAATGGTGCAACTCGTGGAGTCAATAGGCCTGGAGATATGAGGGCCATGGGTTGGCGCTCCGCAGCGGGTGTAGCTGCCGATGTTGGAAAAGATGTTTGTGAGTTCTTCTATATATTTACGTTCTAAATCCAGCTAGGTGACTGTGACTGATGAAACCCCAATTAGGTCACTACTCCCTTAATCAAGCAACATCCAAATCCGAGGGAAAGATTTGGATTGATATTGAACGCAATTCACTTCTTCTGCCTCAGGCCAAAGACTTTTGGGCAGAAAGGTTTTCGATTCTTTCGATGTCAGCTTTTTCCGCCAATTCACAGATTGCAGCTGAAGCCAGTGTCCCTTCTTTCGACTCTCCAGGATGGGAGACATCTGCTAATAGCCAAGTCTGGGCCTCCAATGTGGCCATTACTCGTGATAATTTTACCAATAAACCACATCGTGATAAGGATGCCACACCTTATGCATTTGGAATGTTTGCAAGAGTCAATAGAGAAACCGGCAAGCCTCACGATATAATCAAGAACCCCTCTGATTGTCACATTGAAGGTTCTATTTTTTGTTTATCAGACTACGCTGTTGGTATTGATTTTGATAATTGTAATGGGATTGTTGAGATTATGGAAAACGCAAGTCAAACACTTTACACTCAAGTCCACCACGAAGAACAAGCTGACAGGGAAAGAAATCATCCCATCCAAGGCATTTTTGACACGGTTTGGGTCCTCTTGCCAAATCTCTTCCAGGTTGGTGAAATTGGGTAAGGCATTAAAACTAAAGAAATCAAGAATGTCAAGGAAGGCGTGGGAGTTGTATACAAAGGATCATATAAAGGGTTATGACCAGCAGGTATACGTCAAATTAGATAAGTTGTCAAAATGAAAGGAGATCTAAGATTTGATTCAATTTTGTAAATAAAATATGTCTTTCTATACTTTTTTGAACAAAAACTTTTGTATATAACACAGTGCACACTTCCAATTGTTTAATCCAAAACCCAGTGGGGAGTTTAGTTCGAATCAATTTAAAGTAAGTGTTAACCAATGTATAATCATCAAGAGGAAAAGGTTCAAACTGCAAAGCAACAATATAAACTTTTAAATACAAACTTTTTGCAAATCCCAGCTAAACTCTAACTAACTGAAAGGCAGAAGGTCAAGGAAACTGGAGCAGTGATTGATACGGTTGATAATTCAGGCTACATGATCTTTTTTGAAGTTTCTTTGAAGATGCAAAAAATGATGAAGGGTTTCAATATTGAACAGTGTAAAGTAAATTCTAATGGTGCTCTGTGATTTGACCAGCGTTGGGTTCTAACTTTTTGAAGAACCCCCTTGAAGACTAGCCACTTTGTTGAACACATCTATGTAAACATCACGAGCCTCATCTACAGTTGCCTCAGGCTGACTCTGAAACCTGTTGAACATAACTTCGTAATCAACCTCTTTGATCCATTTGCGATAACGATACATGGAGCTAGTGAACTTCCATTCACCACCAAAGTGGGCTATCCATTTTTGCTTTGGTCTGCCAGTCAAGGCATCCTTATACCATGCAAGGAGGGTAGAAACCAGGACTGTCGTTCCAGGCCAACCACCTTGAAGCTCGGTTGTTGATGAACTAATTGTTGGTGTACAGAGTAGAGTATCCGTCAGTCAGTGAGTGCAGGTGTAAGTAGATATTGCAAAGGATCTTACTTTGTTTCAATCTCATCTTCCCGTGTTTCAATATCCCCAACAGATGGTTGCACGGGTCCAGATAAAAGGTCACTGGGACTTGGGAGTTCTGCCGAGTCATTGGGTGACTGGGTCAAATCAATGTGCGGAGTGGCTGGGGTAGGTGATGGAGATGGAGATGTTTGGGATGATGACGAAGGGAAATCCTTCCCTTGTGTGTCCATTTGAAAGCCTGTTGCATTGGCGACTGATAGTGAGCAATCAGTTTGTTGTGCTGGTATGGATTTTTGAGATATAAGCGGAGTTGTTGGTGAAGAGGGAGTTTCGCAGATTGCTGGGAGATCTGATGTTGATAAAAAGGCGGAAGTTGGGGGGGTCTTTGCAAAGATGGCGGCTACGGAGTGGTGTGTAGCTGTTCGGGGGATTACAACCGTCTGGAGACGCGCCACGATCTTGCGTTGGTCGGCTCGGAAGCGGTGTGGATATTGGACCAGTGTGTCACACTACAGAAATAAAGAATCTCACCATATCAGTATCAGCAAAGGACACATGAAAGACGAGCCTGAATGGAGCTTACCCATCCCCCATTTTTTTCATCCCAAAAGCTCAGCGCACGATTCCACTGTGGAACTGCTTCCATCACTGCCTGCATCAAAAGCTCGCATTGGCCAAAACATGCTTGAGGCCACTGTGGAAATACTGCAGTGTAAGCTTTTGGTTCAACAGCCTGTAGTCGGGGAAGTGATTGCAAGGTATGGAAAAAAACATCAAAAAGATATGGAAATAAACATCAAACAATGTCATAAGACAAAGCATAATAAATTAGACACATACATTGAGCCATAAGTATATGGTGGCCATTTTGCTTAAGTCGAAGCGGTTCAAATGCTGGTGTGCAGATTTTTCTCGTTCAATTCGATTTTGATGAATCAGGGCCATACTTTGAGATGATACCAGGCGCCCAATGGAATTTGATGATTGGGCCCACTGGTGAGGGGTGGAGCTCGCTGCTGAGGCTCTTGATTGTGCTGCCGATTGAGAGTTGGCCGTAGCAGCTTTGGCAATTGGCTGAGCTTGATGGCCAAAGAGTTCCAGTTGCTGAGGCGGAATCACAGATTTGCGTGGGTGTTTGGTACATAAAGCTGAGCCGAATTCAGTGCAACACTTGAGATCAAGGAAAAAATCAGTTGCTGAATTAAAAAAGGTAGGAGACGCAATCTTACCCCACGACAATACTGAGATGGACACCCTTTGTTTCCGGCGTCCTTATGGTTTTGAGACAATGAACCCTCATTGACTCGTTTGCAAACAACGTGTGGTTTTTGGAGAGGGCGAGGATATGGATGATGTCGTCCAGTAGAGCAGTTCGCAGCCGCGGGAACGTCATCAAGGATTTCGCCTTGTGTTGATACTCTAGGTCCCCAATCACCGGGTTTGGAGACAATTGGTCGAGGAGTTCCGAGGTTGATCATGGCAAGTTCATGGTTGAGTTGATCACATCTCCAGGTCTTCCAATTGTGTTCGTTTTGAGGGGTAGGGCACTGCGGGTTGGAGGAAATTTTTCAGCTTTTGGTTAGGTTTCAAGTAAAATTCTTGCTACTTACACCGATGAGCCAAGAATCAACTTTTGCTTTCTTGTATTCCATTGGAACCATACATACAGGACATCTCAGGCCTACTGGTCCATTCAGGTATGGTGTTGGTAGCGCTATGACGTGAGGGTTGACCTTGACATATTTTTCTGATATTAGGGTTGGGACGACCATCCTCACTGAGTTGAGGGAAGAAAAGTTTGCTGAGATTTGTATGTGGTGATGGTGTGAGAGCAGAGTCTGGCATTATGAATCTGGAGGCTATACAAAAATATTTGTTGTGTGGATTTTTTTTTCATGAAACACAGAGGGTATGCTGGATTGGGATAGGAGCGAGCTTAGGGTCATGCAGGTGTACAGCGTGTGACATGGCTGATGATCTTACAGTACAGACCACGGGCTGTATGGTTTTGGTAGTTTTTGACTTGAATCCAATTTATTCTTGGTTTGGTTTAGGTAGATGTATTTCACTTAAGGGGGTGTAGGTGTATTTATCACAGTTTTATCAATGTATCAGATATTTATCATTATCAGATTATCAGAACCATCCCCGGAATCTCCGGTGCTCCCAGCTTCAACTCAATTGCTTCACACCCCGACCCGAGCTAGACTTGGAGAGCTCCGGGCCCCGTGTTCTCACACCCCGTTAGATTTGGACAATTCTTCAGAGATCTTGGCAACACACCCAAGGAAGTCATGAACCTTTCCTTCACTTAATGCTACGCTCAATCTTGGGAACAGAAAGAAAAAATTTGTAAAACGTTAAAAAAACCAACAAAGGAAAAGATGAAAATCTGCAATGATTGATCCCTGTGAAGAAGATTACTTGGTCCATATTCAAGAAAAGTAATTTTACAACTGTTCTTGGTTTCAATATGACTCTGATTAAATAACTTTTGATTTTTCTAAGAAAGATTCCTGCTTATTTTGGAAGTCAACATATATGCATTTGATAACAGTTCATCAGGATTAAAGATGAACACCTGACCCATATTTCCTGTAAGCTTCTTCAACTTGATTTTGGCTCAAGTTCTACAAATTTAAAAGAAGAAGAGCCAAGGTTGGACCAGAAAGGTCACTAAGAATGTAAGTAATGAGTTCTCTTGGGTTTGTTTTACTTTGCTTTTGTAGATAGATATGAGTCAAGGGGAAGATGTAGTTGCTATTTTGTTTGACCAAGACTAAGAATCCCCATGTAGCTGGTAGAAAGATTGGTTACAAGGTTATGGTCCCAGATATTCTAGAATGAGATTGGGAATACCTTTGAAGCAGCAGGTATGAGAGATATGGCTTCAGAACCGCATACCTTGCAAACTCAAAAGGTAAATACACATCTAACGGGAATTGGGTATCTCAGTAATAGCAAATATCACAACGCAGGATGACATTGGTCAAAGTCACAATATAAATAAAATGGATTGATTACCAAGTCATTACAAGATGGTACAAGAATTTAAAACCTCATTCAAGTTTTTTTGATTTTGATTTCCTTGATTCTCTAAATGCTAGTACTCTAGCTTTCATCCTTAAAACTCGATCATCTGCTTCTAATTGTTCTCTTTCCTCACTTTTTTGTGATGAAGAAATTTGATTGAAAAATCAAGTTGATTAGCTTTTGGTTTAAAGTTATTTTTTCTCAAGTTTGTTTCAGGGGTGGAAACTTACTTTTGAATTCTTTCCATGATCTCTTCTTTCTCTTCTCTGATCTTTTTTTCAATCGGATCTTCTTCTTCCTCAACTTCTTCTTCTTCTTTCACTTGTTCAGATAGGTCTGTATTGTTAACTTGATGTTCATTTTCTGGTATCCCATTCTCATTATACGGTACAGGTTCAACAAATATTGAAGCTTTTGTAAAAACAGAACTTTGATCTTCTGGTTCTTCTTTGGTAGCTAAAGAAGCTTCAAAAGCTGCCCATTCTGGATCTTCTTGTATGGGATCAGGATCTGTTTCGTCTGGAGATTTAGAACGTGGTGGAGGTCGTTGTGATTCGTCATCAAAAAAGCCCGATGGAAGGTTTGAGGTAGGTGTTTCGTCTACTTCTTCAGCTTCTTCTTCTGGTAGTGTGTCGTCAAATCTTGTCCTTTTAGTCTCACGAAGAGAATTCGAAGTTGAGCCTTCTGTGTTTTCTGATACATCTTGATCGGAAGTAGGTACTTCTGACTTTCTTTTTGCACTAGAAGCTGAGTTCACTTGGAGAGATGATTTTTGATTTTGAAGACTTAAACGATGTTGTTTTGAAGTTAAGTGAGAAGGCCACAGTGCTTCTGTTTTAACCTAACAAAAAATCAATAAGATAAGCTTCGAGACGATGACGAATAAGTATTTCAATACAAGAAGTAACAGACTTGATAAATTCACGCACAGCGAGACCGTTACAAAGAGTACAGGTTAGTTTTCCAATCGTATCATATTTGGCGTATTCATGTTGAATTCGTTTGGCAAGTTGTCGCTCTTTCATAAGCGAACGTAAAGCTTTTGATGACATCTTTTTGAGGATTGTGAAATTCAACTTGAGATGGTGAGTTTGAATTGTTCAGAGTTGAGGTTTACAGACTGAGAACTTTAAGGCGTGAGATCAAATGACAAGAAGCAATAAGAGCTGGACCCAAAGCCCCGCACGCTGACGGCACACCAGACGGGTCAACCAGGGCCGGCGGCGGTACGGGCAAAATGTGTACCCGGCTCAAGAAGGCTTCTGGTCAAGTTTGAACACATCATCAATCTTTTCATGAACATTTCCTTCCTGGGTCATGTCATACCAACTCCTAACTTTCTCAAAATAAATTGTGTAAGCCAAAAAAATCATGCAGAAATTAACTTTACAAAACATTTCCTCACTTCAAAATGATGTCATAAAGAAATAAGTAAGTCACACCATGTAAAATTCCGGGTAGCATGTTGATGTGCACACACCAAAAGTAATTCATAGAGGGATAGTAGATAATTTGAAGAGGTCTTTGGATTCAAAGACACATTCCCTTTGTCCAGGTGCTCAAGAAAGGAAGGTCAACAAAGGGGTGCTGAACTTGTCACTAAAATTCAATAAAGCCATATAAACATTTCTTTGTTTTTTTCTCAATTATCTTTGTGTGTGCAAGTTGACGTGCTACCAGTGAGAAAATGGAAAGGAAAGAAAGAGTGTGAAGGAGATCAAAGGGTGTGGGGTGAAATTTAGAAGTTGATTGAATTTAATGAAAGTTCAATCAACAGAGGAAGAAGCAAAAAGAGTTTCTTATCTGATAATTAAGAGCCTCAAGTCTGTTTTTTATAAATGGGTCAAATATATGATTTCTTATATTGATCATATATTGATGCCAAACATCACCTCTTCTTTCTTCAAAAGCCATAAAATCTTTTTGACTGATAAGGACTTTTTTAGGTATCTATAAATGTGTTATAGAGTTTTACAAAATCTGCCAAACCAGGCCCTAAGTAATTTAATGAAAAACACATAAGCTGATCATCTTGAATCTAATGAATGTTCAAAATGAAAATCTTTCCAATTGTAATCAATAGTGGCTCTCAAAGTAGACCTAGCCAACCCATGAGTTGACTTTTTTTGGCTATGACTTGAGCTATCAACAAATCTCAACTTTATACACAAACTTCCTATCAATAAACTGTGACATACTGGGTCAACCAGGTTTTGTTGGAACCACTCCAGGCGTAGTTCAACTAAAATAACCAATTTCAGAAACTCTTTTATTTTGAATTGATCATCAAAGATTTCTAAAAAAATACCAAAAAAAAAGATAAATCTCAAATGAAAAATACAACTCCATGAAAAATAAAACAAAAGGATGTTTCTATTGATGTACCATAACCTTAATGATAAAATCCAATATAAACGTAAAAGAAAAAAACCATAATGTACAAAACCCTTTTATTCTATTCCAATACATCCAATCAACACAAACAGACACACTGACACACAAACACATTCATTGAGACATTTATATATATATAAAACAAGACATGTAGATGGGAAAACCAAAAAAAAGAAATCAAATCCTTAAAAAAAATAACAATCCAAAGCGATCAGATAATCAACAAACGATAAATCTATAGACCAAAAACAAAACCATAAGATCAATCAAAAAGTCTCCAACAATAACAAGCACCAAAAGTAAAAAAAACTCACCTAGAACTTTTAAAAGAAACAAACCCCATCATTTTTTAACAACCACCACAATACCCACCACCACCTAACCCACAACCCCAACAACTAACCGGACCGAATCCAAAAGACTTCAAACCCAAACCCAGAATACTACCAATCCCTTCACCCAAAACGAAACCTGAACCAATAATGATCCATCGAATCTTAATTGATTCTTGATGTTTTAAAGATTGATTTCGATTCACAAAATAAATAATCGTTCCTCCAATCATTCTTGAAATCGAAAATGATGGTGTATTAATAAATCCTACTGAAAATGCTATTCTAAAAAATCACCAAACAAATCTTATCTTAGTTGATGATTCAAAAAGGTTTGGAAGAGTATCGAAAAACTTACCCGGATGGTAAGTATTGTGTCCAACTTAGTTTAGAACGATGGTGTCGATTAAGTAAAGTTTCAGAACTAGATAACAATCTAAGTGTAGAGACTCCAAAAAAAACGATTCCAAACACGATCATAGTTTCTTTACTTTTAGGTGGTAATTCTCCATTATTAACTAATCTAGCTAAACTTAACCTATAGACCAAGAAAGAAGAAAAGCACAGTATTAGGAAGAAAAATTGAGAAGACGTTTTTTTTGGTTGTTCAAGAAATTAACTTACCAAACTGCTGCTGTAGGTACTGGAAAAGATGTACTAGGTAAAGTAAACGTTTTACTATAAATCAAATAAACACCACTCGAAACAAACACCGAAACAAATGAACCAATCATCTAAAATCAAAACCAAACATTGTTCTTTATCAAGATCTATTCATCCATCATCACCAAACATCAGAATCTCAAAGTTGAAATCAAGATGATCACTTACTTGACCATAAAACATACTTTTAGGTGAAACATGATGAAGATAACCGGTTTTGAAATCTTGCATGATTTCACCACATTGCATTGCTCCTGCTTCAGATATCCCTCCGGCAATTAAATTCGCTACAATGTTATTAGGTTGAATTAATCCAAAGATTAATTGTGAAATCTTTCCAATGGCTGAAACTGGATTCAAATCAGTTTCTCCTAATGCTCGAACCCTATATATATATGACAATGGTATTAAAAATCAATCCTCGGTTTTTTGAGTGATGGAAAATGAAAAACTTACCCTAATAAACTGAATAAAGATGCAAGTCCTAAAGCGATCAAAGTGGCCCACCATTGAATTCCTTCTGTTCGATGAGTACCAAAGATTAAAAACATAAATCCAATACAAACTAAACAAGAAGTCAAGAATCCGCATAACATCCATTTCATCTCTACTGTATCTTCATCATCAACATGATCATCATCATTAGAACTGGTTCCAATCTCATCACGATGTGACGAAACTGTTGAAAGAGAGTCTATGGAGCTTTGACGAGGTGTTAGTGAAGGTCTTCGTACTGATCGGGTTGAAGTTCTTTGGTATTTCAACTTTTGTTGGATTACATATGTTAAGATGACTGAGGATAAGCTAACAATTGATTCAACCATCATTATTGATAATGCAGGCCACAGAATCCAACCTGAATCACGATCAAAGTCGTAATGAAGATTCAGATTAAAATCCAGTTCAGTACGTGGAATGAAGAGAAAGACAAGATGTGAATTTTCACCTTTAGATCCATTTTCCGAATTTCCAACTTCGCCTGGAGCCCATCCTTGATTCTTGGCAAGAGGAGATAAGATTGCCCAACTCACGATCATACCAAGGTTCATACTATAAACCGTATGAAATCCCATAATGATCCCTTGACCAACGAACGCAAAGGATGGGGTAAACCTGTAAATGTATATTGGGATTAGTTGTAGTCGACCTTTTTGAAAATTAGTTTGTTTTGCTACGTACCACCATAACCATGTATGAGCCACTGGACCAAAAACATCAAAGATAGGTATGGCATATAGCACAGGAAAGGCCAATGACAAAAGCTACAAAAAGTTTGATAAATATCTCAGTGAACGAAACGCAATATTATAAATAAGGCGGGATTCAAGAGCATACAGTATAAGTGATCGAGGCACTGAAACTGATAATCAGAGCTTTCCATTGAGCCAGTTTCGATTTCTTTAACTCAGGATGATCTAAATCAATAGGAGTAGTATTAGATTTACTTAAACTATCTTGATCTTCAATTTCATTTAAACTTGTAGGTAATGGAATATATTCGGTTCTTGAAGGAGAATTGACACTTTCATCACTTCTAAACCTAGATCTTTTAAGAAGATTTGGACTTGGTAAATCATGTAGAACTGATAAAACTTGAGCTGTTGCTATTCCAGATGGAAATGCTAATTGTTCTTTAATTATTACTTGTTTTCTTAATGGAATAGCTAAATAAACTCTACAAGAAAAATGGAAAAATGAAATAAAATCAGTTTTCAATTCATCAAAAAACAAACAAGAAGTGTAGATGTGTAAGAATGAAAGGAATCAAAAAATAAAAAAAGTTTTTTTATTGACCCAAAAAAAGCAACTGCTAAACACCAACCAATCAATGAAATTGGTGATAAGATTATAGGTTCAGATCCATCTAATTTTAAAGATAATTGTGATAAAGCTGGAATGATTCCAACCAATCCTGCTGATAATGGCATTGTACCCATTGCAGTTGCAGTAGTTTGAAGTAAAACCTAAGATTTATTAAATATATTGCGATTCCAAAAAAAATCTTATCAACCTCCTTTTTTGGTTTAGAATCAATCTCACCAAAAAGATGACGTGATGACATACGTTTTCTTTGATGGATAATGGTCGACTTAGAAATCTTCCGGGAATCACTTTAAAGATTGCGTAACCAAGTAAACTCGATTGTAATGACATCATCGATATCCAACCTATTTATTTCAAATCCATAATCCATATTCAATTGAGGTATTTTCGATCAGAGAAAGTGATTGGATTGACCAGTTTGTAGTCCAAAGTACATATTTGTAAAGGCTAAGACTAATCCAATAGATAATCCTACACCTACAGATCGAAACTATTGAAACCAAGATATCAGTTGAATGAAGACCAAAAGATGAAGAGATGGAGTTTCTTACTGTAAAATCAGGTTCGGTTTCTTGATCCATTGTGGCAGTGGTAGTGGTGGTCGTTGAATGATGCTGAGAGATACTAGTCATGAAGATGGATTGATATCGTGTTGTTTGATTGAATGATAGAAAGTGTTTGAATCGTGAATGAGTTCGTTGTTCAGTGGTAGTAGTTCATTTCCTATTAAGTTGAGTGTCGATCACTAAGCTTAACTAAGCCCCTCTCGCGCGGCTGCGTCCGCGCCCCTCGAAGAGGGGCTTACACCGGACTCGTGTTTTTTGGCGGGTGAGCTCCAAAAGTTAAGTCCTCTTACGTTGTTTTTTGGACTTCCACTCAAACCCTCACCGTAGAATTTTGTGACCTTCGAGTATGTTTATCTTCATGAGATGCTACACATTCTTGTACCACTTTTATCCACCACTCAGCTCTGTGACGCTTTCAGGGGAAGTTGCCAGATCGGATTGAATGTCCTCCTGTAACAGCTTAAGAGGGCCTGTACAGCCTAACGCACAAGATTTGAGAATTTTTGTGCTCGCCTCAAGCTTA